TATGACCTTAAATATTTATCTTTTTATATATGCTAGGAACGCTGGAATTACTTCTCTGATCTATCAAACATCAGGTGTATATTTGTATCCATTAATCAACCCCACTTCATCCTCCCCTCCTCCCTACCCTTCCCTGCCTCTCATAACCACAGGTTTACTCTCTATCTTCATGAGATTCAGTATTTTAGCTCACACATGAGGGAGAATATGTGATATTTGTTTTTCTGTACTTGGCTTATTTCACTTAATATCCATGTTCAGTTTCATCTGTGTTGTTACAAATGACAAGATTTCATTCTTTTTATGGCTGAATAATATTCCACTGTATGTATATACATTTTCTTTTTCATTCATCCATTGATGAACAACTTAGGTTAAGTCCATATTTTGGCCAACTAGTATTTTAAGGACTCCTGTTTCTTGGCTGGGCTCCATTCTAACTACCTACCTATATTCACCTCTAACCAAAAAGCTTGGAACATTTGAAAATGTTTTCGGAGGCTTCTTTCTGTCATTACTATGAACAAGATATACAACACTCTCTCAACACAGGTAATATAAACTTTCTGGGTAAAATACTAAAAGACCCCCTCCTTTTTTTTTTTTTTTTTTTTTTTAAATGCAAGAAAAGGAAGTGTTACATGGCCAAAAACAAAGCACAAATCCAGAGTAGTTAGTCAGGCCACTGCCCTTGAGAGATCAAATTGATCTTTAAGATCCTAGAGATTTACCTGGCCGTGAGAGGAACTGTAAAGAACCTGGAAATTTCTGAAAGGTGATGCTTTGAAAGATAGGGAGAGGGAGTTGTACGTGTTATGCTACATAAAGTGAGGGAATAAGGGCACTTACTTGTCTCAACCTTGGCTCTGGACAGAGGGTTCTCAGAAGTATCTGTAATCATGAGCCAGGCCTCACTCAGGTTTGATGCTGGAATTGACATCACCTGTGTGGAATTGACATCACCTGTGTGGCACAAACACTCCAAGGCAAAATTTTAAAGTGGTTCCAGGTGAGTAATCAGCCTCTGCCAGAAGCAAAAATAAATCCTCTCTGAGAGAATGAAATTTAAATCCCAGCTTTAATATATTCCCATAAAGCTTTAATGAATTCGAGCACAGAAACGTGCAGAGAAATTTGCCATCGAAAATAGAGTCTGAAGCATTAACAATCAGAATCAGACCTTCAAAGGTTACAAATTTCAAAATAGAGAATAGAAAATGAGTATATTAAGGTTTAAAGAAGTGAAAGTGTACTGAAAATGATTGAACCAGAGGAAACTGTTAGATGAAAGGGAAATTTGAAAATAAGCCAGTAAAATGTGAAAATATAAAAATGTAATTGGAATTAGAAACTCAACAGAATACTTATCTACCAGATTAGATTAGGTGTATGGAACTAGACAATCTGAAATAATTACCCAGAGGAGACAATGAGGATAAGAGACAGAGAAGATAGAGTGTAATAAACATTCAATTTGAAGTTTAGAAAGACTATGGATATTGGTGGAGAGTGACTGTAATTTAAGAGAAAGTGGCTGAGGATTGATCATAATTGATATCCAAATCTTTAGATTTAAAAAGTTTAGTAACTCCAACTAGGATACAAAAAATAATTATATATCTAGACATGTGCAAAAATGTAGCACACTAAAGGAAAGGACCCCAAAAGAATCTAGAAGGAAAAAGACACGTTACCAAAAATGGAATGTTATTGATTTCTCAACAGCAGTAAGTGAATGTCAGGAGATAGTAGATGATCAAAATACTGAGAATAACTCAAACCGTAAGTGTATATAAGAGGAAACTATGGCCCCATCTTTTCTTTCCTTTATAGAAAATCTCTACTAAGAGCCATCTATGCTTGTTATGTCAATTTCGTTTCCTCAGTTCTCATAGCTGGATGTATTAGGTTAAGATGTCTGTTCCACATTTAAGTGGATCAGACTTTCACTCCACTGTTCCATAAATTTGGTCTTGTCACAGTCACTAATGACCTCTATGTTGCTAAATTCAAAGTAACTTCTCAATTCCCATATTTCTGGATGAGAGTTTTTAGCAGAATTGCTCATATGTTCTTGGAAATATTTTCTTCACTTCAATTCTGGGAATTCATTAGTTATTCTCCTACCCTATTGTACCCTTTCTTAGTCTTCTATGATGATTCTTCCTCTTTTCCTTGACTTCATATTGTTGGAATGCCCAGGCTCAACCCTGGACATCTTATTCTCTAGTTGGGCTCATTCTCTTAGTGATCTCATCCAGGATCAATAATTTAAACTTCTAAATCCAAAAAACTTTAGATTCATCCTTGATTCTTCCTTCTCTGACACTGTACATCCAATGAGTCAGAAAATCCTGTTGCTTCTTCCTCACTCACTTCACGCTTTTGCCATCTTGTTCCAGGCAATACTACCATCATTTCTTGCCTGGGTTAATTTTAATGGTCTCTGAAATTTACTCAAGCTGCTGCTTCTGTCTTCCTAATGTTTGTTATTAACCCAGTGGCCAGAATGATACTTTTTAATAGGTAAATCAGATTATATCACCCCATTCAAACAACTTCAATGGTTCTCTATTACATTTAGATGAAAATCAATGTCATTATTATCTGACATACCCTCTTTCCTAGTCCTACATCTAACCTCTGATTTGTTTATTTTTTTATGAAACTTACTTAATCTGCTGCAGTCATCCTGGCCTCCCACTGTCCCCTAAACATGTATGCATGATCCTGCAGCAAGGAGTATTTCTTCATCAAATGACTTCCACCCAGATAACTGCATGATTCCTTTCCTCAGCTTCAAGACTTTACTCAGATGTCACCTGCTCAATGAGACTTTCCATGATCATCATATTTGAAATGACTCCTTCCATGCCATTCTCCCTAATCTCCAGACTAATCTCCTTTATCCTATTATTTTCCATAGCATTTATTTACCACTGAACAATGTATTATATTTGCTATTTGTTTCTTCTCCCTTCACCCAACACACAAACACAAATATACACACTCATGTAGGTTCTACCAAGACAGAAATATTTTTCTTTCTGTCCATTCATTGAGATCTAAAAGAGTGCTTGCCACATGATAATTTGACCATCTTGTTCTACTATCTTCTAACATTCACTTACTGCTGTTGAGAAATCAATAACATTCCTTTTTGGTAATATGTTTTTTTCCTTCTAGATTTTTTTGAGATCCATTCTTTGTTTTTAGTGTGCTACATTTTCAGCACATGTCTAGATCTAAAATTATTTTTTGTATCATAGTTGGAGTTACTGAGCTTTTTGCTAAAGATTTGGATATCAATTGTGATCAATCCTCAGCCACTTTCTCTTAAATTACAGGTTTCTCCCCACAATTATCTATATTTTTTCTAAATGTCCCAGGTTCTTTACAGCTCCTCTCATGGCCAGGTAAATTTCTAGGATCTTAAAGATCAATTCAATCTCTCAAAGGCAGGGGCCTGGCTAATTCCTCTGGATTTGTGCTCAACAGCTGTCGAGTGAAAAACTCTCCTTTCAAAACAAAGCCATAGTCTAAAATGTTAGTAGATTGGGGGGCTCATGGTGGTGTGCAGAACAATTGGCCTTATGTTTTTCCTTGTTTTACTTTTTATGCATTTCTCTAAATTTCTATAAATACAAAACAGTTTTTATGGGGGGGCCAAAACTTAAAATATGTCACCATTACATTTAGGAAGAAAGTGTAGAAACCATAAAATCAATAGATTTCACTTTTCCAAATATATTCAACACGGCATATTTATCCATGAACCTCATGCCTTTGTTGTTGCTTTCTCAGGAACTGCTGTTCAGCCAATCTGTCTTCCTGACAGTGATGATAAAGTTGAACCAGGAATTATTTGCTTGTCCAGTCGATGGGGCAAGATTTCCAAGAGTAAGGGACATCAAAACGACTTAATACTTCTTCCAGATCTCTGTATGTCCAGGGGAAGCAGAAATAATTTTCTTGACCATGAGTAGTACATTTATCATTTTTTATCCCTAATTTCTGACACAATGAAGATTTCTGGTTATCCTCAGCATCAAAAGGCTTATACTTCTTAAAAGGCTATTCATATCACTCCTGCTGCTGCCAATTTGGTTAGGTATGGCAGATAAAGGAAGCTGGATAGAGCTGTGATAGATGAGGAGGTATAAGGCAAAAGGATGATCAGGAAATAGTAATAACAGTTAAGTTTCTTTGTCTTTAATATTGTGACTTTTTAAAAAAGTGAGACTCAGAAACAAAAAGTAGAAGAGTAAATACCATGGATTTGAGAGTGAAAGAAAAGGGAAGATGTTGTTCAAAGGGTGTAAATGTGGAATTGTATGACAAGTAAGTCCTGGAAATCCAATATACTGCATGGGAACTATAGTTAATATATTGAATACTTGAAATTTGCTAAGAGGGTAAATGTTAAGTATTCTCACTACAAAAAAGTTAACTCTGTGAGGTGATGTAATGTTAATCAGCATGATTGTGGTAATCATTTTACAATGTATACATATACTAAAACATCACTTTGTACTCCTTGAATAAATACAATTTTTATTTGTCAACCTCAAAGCTTGACAAAAATACATTGTGATTTTTTATTTTATAAAGAATTTTAGGCAGGGTGCAGTGACTCACGCCTCTAATTCTAGCACTTTGGAAGGCCAAGGCAGGAGGATGGGAGCCCAGCAGTTGAAGACCAGCCTGGATAGCATAGGAAGACCTTGTCTACGCACACACACACACACACACACACACACACACACGCACAAATTAAAAATTAGCAAACCATGGTGGCATGCCTGTAGTCCCAGCTACTTGGGAAACTGAGGTGAGAGAATCACTTGCTCCCAGGAGGTTGAGGCTACAGTGAGCCTTGACTGTACCATTGCACTCCAGCCTGAGTGACAGAGGGACACCTTGTCTCAAAAAAAAAAAATGATTATTATAAAACATTTCTGTATTGACCAAAGTTTTCCTCTGTTGGGGAAACATTTAAGCATTTGTTTAGAGAAGCCACAATTGTACAATTGCCTGTGTTACCTTAAAAATCTGCTGAATATTTTTAAAATGTCCTCTGCCATGTATCTGATGTTTAGAAGTGAATATGATTCACACCTAAAAACAATTTTACTTCTACATGTGGTTAAAAATCTGTTTGAAATAGTTCTAAACTTGTAGACTTCTCATTAATTTGTTTCCATGAGGATATTGTGTACTAACTTATCTGTCCTCTCTCTGCAGCATCAGAATATTCAAATGTCCTACAAGAAATGGAACTTCCCATCATGGATGACAGAGCATGTAATATTGTGCTCAAGAGCATGAACCTCCCTCCCCTGGGAAGGACCATGCTGTGTGCCGGCTTCCCTGATGGGGCAGTGAACGCCTGCCAGGTACAAAAGTGTAAACCAGCCTAGTTGTTTACCAACATGTGGGTGAAAGTAGATTCTGCCTTTCTGCAAAAGAAGCTCCTGTTTCTTCTGTTACTGTGTCAAAATTCCTTTTCCCTTCATCTTTTCATCTGATTTCTACTGAAAAAGTGTACTTGACCTAAGCAGAAAGAATTATTTCCTGTCTCCACATCCATTCCTACTCCTACACTTCTTTTATTTTGGTGGGTTGGGAAAAGGGATTAGTTTGAACGTGTCCAACCTAATGGAATCAAGCAAGACGACCACTTTCACAATCTTATTAGGTCCAGCTATGAATTCTTCATTTCACATGTTGTTAAGCATTGTGGAATGTTTTTCCATTGGTGCACAATATATTTGCATAAAATTTGACCGAAGATACATAGCTTTGGTCACAGTTGTGTAAGAGATATTGGGAATGACCACAATCTCCAAAGACTGACACAACTTCACAATGAATACCAATCTTCACAAGATATTTAGAGGGGACAAGGAGACCAATTTTTGAAACACAGGGGTTTTAAGTTTTAGATAGGTCTTCCAAGTAAATTATCTTCTCTTTTAAGGTGGAGCACTAAGGAGTCATTATTCTTTGCCAAAAAGCAGCTTGAAAATGTTGAGGGAAGCTCTCTGAAATTATCTGTTGGAAGGATTTTGAGTTTTTCTTAGAGGCAATGACAGGAGTTTGGGAGGGAGGAGACTGAAACTTACACTTATGCCACTTTCTAAATTGGAAAACAGGTTAAAGGTGCTTTTTGTTATCTGCATTCATTATAGGCAATCCTTTTTTGAATGAAACCCTCTACACCTTGTGAGAAGAGTTTAATCTGACAAAAAGTTGTCTGAAACAGAGTCTTAAAGTGGTATAGATTCTGGAATGTTATTGAAGATGCAATCCTAAAACCTTGGGTTCTTTATTCTGTAGGATAAGAGCCATTGTGGTCCTTTACATATATCTCCTGGATAAAATTAGGTTTCCCAGGCTTTCCTTTTTTTTTTTTTTTTTTTTTTTTTTTTTTTTGGAGACAGAATCTCACTCTCCTGCCCAGGCTGCTGGAGTGCAATGGCACAATCTTGGCTCACTGCGACCTCTGCCTCCCAGGTTCAAGCGATTCTCCTGCCTCAGCCTCCTGAGTAGTTGGGATTATAGGCACCCGCCACCACGCCCAGCTAATCTTTTTGTATTTTTAGTAGAGACAGGGTTTCACCATGTTGGTCAGGCTGGTCTTGAACTCGTGACCTCAGGTGATACACCATCTCTGCCTCCCAAAGTTCTGGGATTACAGGTGTGAACCATGCGCCCGGCCCAGGCTTTCTGTTCTTAAAGCCTTGAGGCCTTGAACTATCTTGGGGGATCTATTCACTGATGCTCTATAGGACTGGAAGATGACCTAGGCTTTCCTGCAATTCCAGGTGACAAGCTATAGTAGAAGCATCTATCTATACTACCTCCCTTCCAACAACTTTTAGAATGTACATGGTAGTGGAAAAAAAAAAAAAAAAAAGAGGAAGAAAAAGTGTTAACCTGACAAGATTGCAGCCAATAGGTATAAAGAGATTTTATCTTGATTAAAAGATTGTGCCTTGAAACTAACGATAAGGACACAAGAAAATGGATAAACAAAAAGTTGATGGACGATGACTAGTGGACTTCTTTGCCTCTACCTCTTTTCATTTTGTGATGAGTGCTGATGTTTGCGGAAATGATGAAATATTTTACACTGTGGCTATTTTCAAATTTTCCCTTTTTTTGTACCATGAAAGAGGGACGCTGGAGGACCACTGGTTTGTAGAAGAGGTGGTGGAATCTGGATTCTTGCTGGGATAACTTCCTGGGTAGTCGGTTGTGCTGGAGATTCAGCTCCTCTAAGAAATAACCATATGAAGGCATCACTTGTCATTTTCTCCAAAGTGTCTGAGTTGATGGATTTTATCACTCAGAACCTGTTCACAGGTAGGTGAATTCTTTCTTCCTCATCTCATCCTAACTCAAGGGTAGTTACTCTGCTATGTTGCGATATTATCAGAACTAAGCTTTAGAACAAAGCAAGAATAAGGCTGGTTTTAAATTCTTAGTCCAATGTAGATACTTGTGTCTCTGAAACCCTGAGTATAGAAATCTGTCAATATAACTTGAACAAACCAAATCCCTGTATAAAATTTTCATGAGATGCGTTTTTGCATTTATGAGATTTTATTAACAGACCTTGAGAATAGACTCATTAGGGGATTCTTTCTTCTTTTTTTTTTTTTTTTTTTTTGAGACGGAGTCTCGCTCTGTCGCCCAGGCTGGAGTGCAGTGGCCGGATCTCAGCTCACTGCAAGCTCCGCCTCCCGGGTTCACGCCATTCTCCTGCCTCAGCCTCCCGAGTAGCTGGGACTACAGGCACCCGCCCTCACCCAGCTAGTTTTTTCTATTTTTTAGTAGAGACGGGGTTTCCCCGCGTTAGCCAGGATGGTCTCGATCTCCTAACCTTGTGATGCACCCGTCTCGGCCTCCCAAAGTGCTGGGATTACAGGCTTGAGCCACCGCGCCCGGCCTCTTTCTTCATTTTTTCAGTTGGCACAGTTTTTCTCTGTACTACTTAAGAATACTAAAAATAAATCACTCATCTCCCACTTTGCCCGCTCAACCTTGTTAACTTACTTGGCAACAGTGAAAAAATGAGGGAGGCCTTGGAGAGTTAATTTGGCTCTGGGACACTAAAATCTAAATTAGGAAAATGTGGGCCTGGAGATACCAAACCTGTCCTCTGCAGAATGAAAGAGGCCTGAGAGAACACAGCTTTCCGGAACAAGCAGTTAAATGTAGGAACCAACTATTTTTTAAAATGACAAGACCCAGAGCCCCAGAACATAGTGCTCTCTCCATCCTCCATCCCTTTCTCATGGCAGTCCAAGGGCAGCCACCTGACTGAGGGCTTTTAGAAGTGGTGCTGTGGATCCAACCACAGGCCAGCACTTCCTCGAACTGCCGCAGACTCTTCTTTGGTCTTAGATGTAAAAGTCCTCTTCACTGCTCTACTGCAGGGGAGCAATTCTCTTCTGGTAGCAATTATATTCCATTTTGGTCACCTGGAAGGGAAAGTTGATAAGATTTAAAAGCCCTGAACAAAGGTAAATGGTAACAATGAGATTTTACAAGAGCAATGAAATCAGACATTAATGGTTAATCCCAGTGAAATGAACATCGGAATGTGATAAGTGATTTATTTAAATAATGCTTCCGTAGGATAATCTTCTAAGCTTCTCATCCTCTGTTTGCCTTTTTTTTTTCCAGTTCATCTTCCCTATCTCTTTCCAGAACTGGCTATGCTTTGGAAATAAGAGTTAAATTCAGTTTTCTTAACCTTAAAAATCAGAGAATTGAATATTTCATATTTTATTTTTTAAACCACACTAACCAACAAATCAAATAAATTACTTTCTGCTTCCACATAGTCCTTTAACCTTTTTTAAAAGACATAGTGGATCACTCACTCTGAGAAAAAGATTCCCTCTGCATTGATTTTAGTAGAAGTTAAATTCTTAATAGTCTTTAACGTCACCTTGTTAAAAATGTTTTATTTAAGTGATTATTATTGGAAAAGACACTAACTCCTCATACCTTCTACAGGTTTGGATCAGGGCCAACCCATCTCAAAAGTGGGTCCGAGGTATATAACAAAGGCCCTGAGTTCTGTCCAAGAAGTGAACGGAAGCCAGAGAGGAGAGGGTATGTGTGGTTCTAATTAGAGAAGGAAGCTGACTTGAAAAGAGTCATCAGAGGAAAGTAAACAGAAGGGTTGTACCATATTCACAATCTGAGTTTTATTTAAATTTTCGAATGTAAACTTTAAACGCCCCTCCCATATTCATACGTAGGCGCCAACGTTTAAAACCTAACCCTGGCATCTAAAGCTTTTGAGTAAATGAGGGAGACTTTCCATGCCATTACTAAAAGTTTTATCCATTTATTTATTTATTTATTTATTTAGAGATGGAGTCTCACTCTGTCACCCAGGCTGAAGTACAGTGGCAAGCAGTCTCTGCTCACTGTAACCTCCGCCTCCTGGGTTCAAGCAATTCTCCTGCCTCAGCCTCCCAAGTAGCCAGGACTACCGGCACCTGCCAGCACGCCCAGCTAATTTTTGTATTTTTAGTAGAGACAGGATTTCACCATGTTGACCAGGCTGATCTTGAACTCCTGACCTCAGATGATCCACCCACCTCGGCCTTCCAAAGTGCTGGTGCTGGGATTACAGGCATGAACCACTGCACCCAGCTTATTTAGGATCTTTTTTTTTTCAAGATTGAGACTTGTTCTGCCACCCAGGCTGGAGTGCAGTGGCATGCACTCTGCCTCCTGGGTTCAAGCAATTCTCCTGCCTCAGTCTCCTGAGTAGCTGGGACTACAGGCATGGACCACCACACCTGACTAATGTTGGCCAGGCTTAGTCTCAAACTCCTGACCTCAAGTGATGCACCCGCCTCAGCTTCCCAAATTGTACTTTAGCATCTTTAGAGGGAAGGTGCTTAACCTTACCCAAGACAGCCTAGAAAGAGATGGGAAAGTTGGATAAATATTACATCTGAAGAAGTGTTTTAAAAAGTTTCTATTTTGATTCAAATTATGGTGAATTCAGAAATGTTTTTAAAGTCTCTTTGCAAATACAACGTCTAAATCATAGCCTCTAAAAATATTTGCATTCCCATAAATATCAATGAAATGAATAATATAAATCGTACAGCTTCAGGCTGGCCTCTGGATCATTTTGAAATGTTGTCTATGGGTGAGGAAAATGATTGACTTCTTTCCTGTGTTTTTGAAGATTGTAAACCTCAGGGGACAGTGTTATTTGGAGAAAATGGGAAGATTCGTTACCCCCATTCCAAAGGAGATTACTATTGTCATAATTGGTATGTATCCCACATAGGCGTGATTCCTGGGGCGTTTCCTCCCACAAAATGGGGCAGTTTAAAAGACTCCACTTTGGCAATTTTTTTTTTTTTTAGATAGGGTCTCCCTATGTTGCCCAGGTTGGGCTTGAACTCCTAGGCTCAAGGGATCGTCCCACCCCAGCCTACTAAGTAGTAGGGATTACAGGGACATGCCACCATACCTGGTTTATTTTGGCAATTTTATCTAGTATTTCCAGTTCTAATATAAAAGTATATAAAAGTATATGTTTCATCTGATATTTTTAGGTTGGTGAATATTTACTCATTAATGTAAATCATCAACCTGAATAGTTATTAAACTAAAGATTGCTTGAATTGATGTATTCAAATATGTAATACTGATAGCATCTGGTAATGACATTGCTATGGGATTTAGTGATTAATTCTGTCACATTTATTTCTATAATCATGGTAATATTTTGCTTAGCATCACCTAGAAGATGAAAAATAGTTCATGTCCTATAAGCTTTAGTATCTTTTTACAAATTTTCTACATACCCTGTCCTCTAAAATATATCTAAATATAGCTAAAAATATCTTTAAGTTTTAGAAAATTGTTCTGCAAGTATCTCATTTTCTTAAGTGATCTAAATTCGTTCTTAAAATTGTACTGAGAATTGAATAGTGTACTTCAAAGATAACAGTTCTACAAGTTTATAATCTGGTAAAAAGAGCTAGACAAAAATAACTATACTACAAAACAAGAGGAAATAAGCTTTATAATCCACACATCCAAGAATGTGCACACTACAAAAAAATAGAGACTAATTGTCTTTGGTGTGGTTTTTAAGGTGCATGTAGAGTGGTTAGAAGTGTGGGGAGAGATATAAATGTTATAATGGAAAAGATGGCATTGAAATGAGGCGTTGAAGGATAGTTATGATTTTATAGCTCATGAGGTCTTTGGTGGTTCTAATACTGAAGATTTCAACAGATGGAGAAGCAGGAAAGAGGTCATTCTAGGCCAAGGGAATTAGGTATAAGCAATGTCAAGGAGGTGGGGAAGATTAGGGTTGTTTGGGTTCTGAGTATCCCACTGTGACTGGACAACAATGTGAATGGGAACTGGGGTAGCAGTGGATGATGAGGATGGAAAGGATGATCGGGACTTAATTGCAGAGGACCTTAAGTTCCATGCAGCGAGATTAGACCGTATGCTACAGTCAATGGGTATGCTAAAACTAAAATGATGGAAAGATTATAACTTTCAGAACTAATGTAAAATGAATATAAATATTTATTTCAAGTACAGATAGAAAAGATGTGGCTTAATTTCAGCTCATAATTTAAAAGGCTTAATGGTCTAAACTGACTTTGTCTCAGGCAAACTTGTGATGATAGAATGCCAATAAAGCTTTTGCCACCTTTGCTTAAGCTATTGGAATAATATTTAGAACAAGAGTTTAAGAAACTATTTTATTAGAGTCTCAGGGAAGGGACCTCTAGGGTACAATCTTTAGACAGAGAGATTGATAAGCCAGAATTTGTCTGAAGGACAATGACCAAGATGGGAAAAATATTTAGAACAATGTTTTGCGAGATATGGTTGTGGGAACCATAATATTTTTTGATACAGAGAAGGCTGAAGAGGAGGAAGGAAGTGTCTTGATTTGTCTTTGAGGCTACTAAAGAAGCAGAATTTGACTTATTCTGAATGATTGCAGAGCTGAAAACTAAGATTACTGAGTAGAAGTTAGAAGGCAGAGTTCAATTCAATATGAAGTCATTTCTTGTTTGAGTCATTTCTGAAATTAACTAGCCTGCTTCAGGAAGTAATCAATGCACTTGATAAGTGGATATTTGAGCAAAGTATTTGTATATTGGGTAAGAGACATGCAGATGGCAGCCTACTTACCCTCAAACACAGAGACTCAACTTAGACAATTAAGCATTTCAGAGATCTCTGCAAGAAAATGTTTCAAGAAAAGGAGGGTTATTGTAGAAGTAAAAATCAAATCAAATGCCATTGCATATGGAAACTCAAACTTCTTGAACTGAGCAGAACTGTAGGATCAAAAGTCATATTCATAATGGGTTAAGTGACTGTTGAAAATTTAGTATCCCAAATAATCAACACATTTTTATTGAACCCTTAGGATGTGTAAAACACCGTCTTAGGTGCTAGAGATACAGCAGTGAATGAAACACACGAAAATGCTTGCCTTTGTGGGGCAAGTTAGAAGGTGGAAATGGGATAATTTTTAAATGTTACATATAATAGTAGAAGGTAGTAAATGCTATACCAAAAAATAAGGCAAGAAAGGGAGGTGGAGAATGAGAGTATACAATATCAGAGAGGGTGGTTAGAGAAGACCACAATATAAAGATGACACTTGGAAAAAAAGACTTGGATAAAGCAAGGGCGGAAATTATATGATCATTTTGGAAAGGAACACTCCAGGCAGAAGGAATGGTAGGTGTGAGACAATAATACATTTGATATACTTGGGGAACAGCACAGAGAGCAGAGAACCAGAGCTGAGTGGCTGGAGAAGGGCAATGTGGCCAAATTATTTCGGACTTACAGGGCATGAAGAGAACTTTGAATTTTTCTGTAAGGGAGATAGAGAGCCATTGGAGGATTTTGAACAGAGGAAGATCATGATCTGACACATTTCAAAAAGACCACTTTTATTACTGGGTTGCAAATAGACTGTAGGCAGGCAAGACCACAAGCTGGGAGACCAACTACTGCAATAGTGCAGGTAAAAGATGATGCAATCATCCAGGTAAAAATCTAGCTTTGACTACATTTGTAGAGGTGGTGAAGAGTCGTAGGGCTGTAGGATTTGCTGATGAGTTGACAATTTGGGTTTTGAGGGAGAATGAGATCCCCATATGAGTAAACTAAGGGTTTTTAACCTGAGCTATTGGAAGAATAGAACTGTTGTCTGAGATGCAAACGTTGGGGCGGTGGCTTTTAGACAGTAGAGTCAAGAGAGGCATTTTTTGTTTTTGTTTTGATAAAGTAGACTCAACTGTGCTTACGGACAGAGAGTGAGAGTTAAGAGTCATAGGAAACACATAGAAATGTGAAGTAAGCTTTCAGAGAACACAACAAATAAAGAAGGTTTGGCATTGAGAAGAGGGCAGAATAATTCCTTTTCTGGGAAAGCAACAAAGAAGGTAATCTATAAGAAAGTTGAAGGAATTTACACTGGATGTCTTAGTTATCACACGAGATTTTAATTGCTTCAACTTTAGAAGATGAAGTAGAGATAAAATAGCTAAGATATTAAATAGTTTATAGGGACTAAAGTAAGGACTCAACCAGAGATTAATAAGACTTTCAATAGCAGTAAAATCCAATTAGTTTTAGCATCTATTTATACTATATTTCAATAAATCAAGACAAAAAATTCATTGTAAAATACAGCTTCAATAGGAGAAAACAAAATTCCCAAGATAGGTACATATAAGGCTGAGTCACCAAAGACTATCTTCAGTGTAAGGCTAAACAAGGTGTAAACCCACCCACACGGAAAGTTACATGCCTCAACCTTGGCACTAGATGTAGGGAGAGGTAAAAAATTCTTCGAGAATTTGAACCACAGGTTAATACTCGTGCAGACCTATCATCTAAATTCACACCTCAAGTATAGGCCAAAGCACGTCAAGCAGAAAAATTTGGCACTGTGAAGTTGATAGTGTGCAATGTGACTGACAGAAGTGTATACAGATACTGCCCGGAAGAACTCTTTCAATTCAGGTCTACAGAAATCGTAAGACTCCTTTGTAAGATGCATTCTAATTTTAGAATGTGAAAATGTGGGAAAATTGTGTTTTAGAAATGAGGTCAATTTGCACAGTTAGTGACTTCTTCAGCATGCTGAGTAGCCTTAGATACTGAAAGGGTTTTGTAAATTCCAACTGGAGCTAACTAGGAAATCATAAGGCAGACAGAGATAATATAAAGGAGAGAGTTACACAGTCCCTCCAAGCCTCTCTGTATTCTGGTAGGTGGTAGCTAGATTCTCAGAAATGACAGATACCACCCAGGTTGCCCTCCTTCCTTTCATACCCATGGGAGATATTGCATTTCTCAGAGCCTAGATCAGTACTTGTCACATAATTAATGTTCTATAGATTATTTGAATTAATAAATCAATGGTTTGTTTGGGGACCCCTCTCTCACTTAGCTTGACCAGACCTCAAAATCCTTTTAAAACAGCAATCACTAATAATAAATCAAAGTTGGCATAGATTTGAAACCTATTTTTCATCTTTGAGCTAGAGATTTTGAGGCCGAAAATAATTTGATGATGGAACAATTTGAGAAAGTACTGGTCTTTGAAGTCATAAAGCCTAAACAGTTCCACTTATACAAGAGACGTGATGAATCTTTTATTATCAATGCCAGGTTTCCCATTTGGAAACAGAGGGATAATTTCTCTCCTGCCTACCTCAGAGAGATGTAATGAATCTCAAAAAGGATGATGGATTTGGAGTGCTTTTTTCCATTGAAGTGCTTGGCAAGTGAGCTTTATAATATTTTAGACAGCTTATTTTTACATCTGTATTCAGGATGATGGACTTGGATAGAAAAACACTAAAGTAAAGAGTTTCCGGCTGGGCACGGTGGCTCAGGCCTGTAATCCCAACACTTTGGGAAGCCGAGGTGGGCAGATCATGAGATCAGGACCAGCCTGGCCAATATGGTGAAACCGTGTCTCTACTAAAAATACATAAATTAGCTGGGCATGGTGGTGCATGCTTGTAGTCTCAGCTACTTGGGAGGCTGAGGCAGAAGAATCGCTTGAACCTGGGAGGTGTAGGTTGCAGTGAGCTGATATTGCACCACTGCATTCCAGCCTGAGTAATAGAGTGAGACTGGAAGGAAGGGAGGAAGGAAGGAAGGGGGAGGGAGGGAGGGAGGGATTCCAGTTAAGGAGATGTCTGGTAAAAAAAAAAAAGAAAAAAAGAAAAAAAAATTATTAGTGTTTGCTTTTTGGAACCTGGGCATAAAAGACTTGACTAATTCCTAAAGTCCTTATTAGTAAAGGGCAGTGAGGCTGTTAACAGGTCTAAGGTAAAGACTGCTGAATTTTGGAAAGAGTTAATTCGAACATGTTAGATTCTAGGTAAGATTGCTTTGCATTCAGGTGAAGGTGAGACATGGAAGAAGCTAGGATTTATGGCCCACTAGGATTTATTTTCTTGAATAATAAATTTATATATGAAAATAAAGGTAAGGGATTATTTTCGTACTCTCTCAAGTTTAGATATGCTTTTAAAAATGTTAGTGAAAAGTCACAGCTGACCTTACTGGGAGTTAGAGAGATGACATTTTAACTCAGGGACTGTGACTTAGGATGACTTCGGAATATGTGGCTGTTTAAGGTTAGCAAACACTGCATGGTCAATTCATAATTCATGAGAATCATAATTCAACCTCTGGATGAATAGTATGAATTTTAATTAGGTGAATAACTCAGATGAATCTTAGGTTTCTTCAATTTATAGATCAAAATTCTAGCATTTTATAACTAAATGAAATTTAAGGGGTGTTTTCTGGTCATTCTCCAATTAATACTCATCTATTTGTCAGATAAATGTTATCAATTTGAGCACAAATTTTTCTCAATGTTCCATTGCCTTTTATCTTCTAGTATTCTATAAAATTGTATTGTTGTTGAGTTGTGAGACAAAGCACGGGTGTTAGATTTTATTTATCAAATCTGATTCTGCCATTTGTTATATTTTCTTCACCTTCCCCTATCCCAGCTTATATGTTTGGAAAATAATGGTACCAAAGGATATAATAATCCTGATAAAATTTACAAGTTTAGACATGGAAAAGCCAGTTGGATGTGATCATGACTATGTATCTTTACAATCAGGCGATGGAGTGCTTATTAGTAAGTATGTTACATTTGTTTTTATTTATCATTTTAGAGTATCTGAAAGACCAAAGAGATACTAAAGGATGTAAAATAAAATTTCTGGCTGCTCTGCCTATGGAGTAGCCATTATTTAATCCTTTACTTTCCTAATAAACTTTCTTTCACTTTACTTAAAACAATAAAAATAAAAAATAAAATTTCTTTTATTGTACCAAGGGCAATGATCTCATCTTGCACACTGTTCCCTTCTAGAAGGGTTAAGGGGAGGATAGGAAGAGTGGAGACAGTGGTCAGCACACTGACTATTCTCTTCAGTGTTTTTCTAAATTAGGAACCAGATCCCACATTTCTCTCTCAAGTTCAATAACAGTGTTGAATGCAATTGATGTCACAGTTGTCAGAAAACTTCCTTTTGAGGCAATTTTTTTTATTATTTTTATCACAAAAGTGGGTACATGTTTACCAAATTTGATAAATACAGATGAGCCAAAGGAAAAAAATATAAACCATTCATAACCCTGTCACCTAGAGATAATTTCTATTAGCTTTTAGAGGTGTATCTGTTTACACATACACTTTGAACTTTACATTGTTTGATATAATTTCCTTCTCATAACACAAATGATCATTTCATGTCATTCAATTTCTTTTATTGAGTACCTCTTATAAGCTATATAAACATAAGCAATATATCTAACTTTGTTGAAATACTCTGTGTTAACTATGATAGAAGCTCTCTAGAGCTGGTATAGACCTGGATCTCTAGATCTCTATAAGGTCAATGGTTAGGACAAATGTCTCTTCACACATATGTGACAGGAAGCTATAGACAAAGTACTGTACTAGGGGTTATAATATTTATTGTCTAAATTATTTCATGCTCAGGCCTGCTATTTACACAGTAATTATTCTTTCAACCAATCATTTGTTAAAAATTAACTATATGTGGGATACCATACCAGGTACTGGACATTTTTCGAGAAAAAGCACTCTCTGCCCAAATAAGTTGTAGTTTGAGGTAATCAAACATGTAACACAAAGTTGGAAATACCATTAGAACAGGGAATGTGCTGTGCTGATTCAAAAAAGATAGCTCTTATTTCGAGTGGTTGTCTGGTAGAGTTTTTCGGGAAGCTGAATTTTGAGTTAGGCCCTGAAGAATGAGTAGAATTTGAACATGACAGACTGGGGGGTGAGAAGGCAACTGGAATAGCAAAGTCACTGAAGCAGAGAATGTTGAATGATCAAAGGGCCATTAAATAGTTTAGTGTGTTTAGACCAGAGATCTCATGGAAGATGATGGAAAACAAAACAAACATGGATACGTTTCCACCACTCTTTAGTCATGTTATTTCACTTTCCTTCACTTCTTTTAAGGTAAGATCTGTGGAAATATATTGCCCTTACCATTGCTGACAGAGACCAGTGAGACCACGGTTCCATTTGTTTCTGATACAGAAGACAGTGGCCGTGGCCTTGAGCTTACCTTTACTGCCATACAGAACTCAGAAGCAGGTGAGTGTTTCAGGTATTTAATTCCCTGCCATTTTCCCTTGATGTGGGTGGGGAAGAGGAGGAGGAAATGCCTTTGGCCATTCACTTTGAATTTCCCCAATGCTTCCACAGGGTCAGGTTGTGGAAGTGTGGCTATATTGGTAGAAGGGACAAATCACTCTGCCAAGTATCCTGATTTGTATCCCAGTAACATAAGGTGTCAGCATTTCATTCGTGCTCCAGAGAAACACATTATAAAGGTAGGCAACTGAGGAATCACTCTACCTCATAGAGGATACAGTTACCTTAGTTAGGCAGAACTTAATTCATCTGGATTGTTAAATTGCTATTATGACTAGGAGCTTCTTTTAGCCATATGCTTTTTTTTTTTTTTTTTTTTTTTTTAAACTCTGAAAAGAGATCTGTGTGTGTGGTTTTGAAAACGTTCAGTGGTTTAAAAGTATATACAATGAAAAGTAAGGCTCCTCATCAGATTCCCATTCTACCCCTGGAGACAAACACTGATAACTTACTAGTGTCCTTGAGCATTTACTTTGTGTGTGTGTGTGTGTGCGTGTGTGTGTATCCTATTTTGAGCATTTACTTGTGTGTGTGTGTGTGTGTGTGTGTGTGTGTGTGTGTACTTATGCTACTTGGCAATGCCTTGTTCACTGAAAAATATCTCAAAGATCTTTCCAGATGAGCCCACAGAACTCTTTTTAATAACTGCATAAAGTATTGTATGATATTTCAGAACACATTAAACCAGTTCCCTATTAATAGATGTTTATTGAGTTTCCAGTCTTTGGTCATACCAGCCGTGATGCCATGAATATCTGCCAGTGTCTTTGGACACATGTGGATATGTATGATTCCCAGAAGTAGACTTGCTAGGTCAAAGGGTTTGCACATTTAAACGTGGTAGTCATTGCCAAATTGCCCTTCAAAGAGACTGCAATTATTTACATTTCTATGTGAGAGCATATGAGGATATAACAAAGAGCCTTTAAATACGCAGAGGTAAACCCTTTAAGCTTCTCTCTTCTCTGACCATTTCCCTGGTTATGTTTCATTTGTACAGTTGACATTTGAGGACTTTACTGTCAAACTTAGTCCAAACTGTATTTATGATGCTGTTGTGATTTATGGTGATTCTGAAGAAAAGCGCAAGTTCGGTAGGTAGCCTTCACCCTTCAAATATGAAAGTGTTAGACTAATCAGAGTAGTTGCAACATGGACTGACTTCCTTGGATACCATAGGTAGAGTGGGAATATGAATTTCTTGCTCTGGAAACTCAGAATGCCATACAACTTTAGCTTTAAAACCTATGAGCCATACTCGGGAGGCCGAGGCAGGAGAATGGCGTGAACCCGGGAGGCGGAGCCTGTAGTGAGCCGAGATCGCGCCACTGCACTCTAGCCTGGGCTACAGAGCAAGACTCCGTCTCAAAAAAAAAAAAAAAAAAAAAAAAAAAACCTATGAGCCAGCAACTAATTTGCATTCCATTTTAATGGAAATGTGCAAAATGTAAAGATTGTTTCAGACTATATGTAAAGTGAAAAGGCAGTCCCCAGAGAAAGGATAAAATGGTAACAGTGAGTACATTTTTGGCAGTTATTTGAGGTAAATTTTAAAGCTTCCTTTTTTCTGTATTCCTTCTGTTGCTAATATTTTGATATTTGTGTCCAAGAAAAGTAACCAAAACCTATAATTTCTATGTAGGTATAACAATTAATTTTAAGACTTTTAAAACTTTAAATACACTTTTAGTTGTGACCTAACAATTTACTGAGTTTGAAGATTTAACGTCCAGCCCCCTAACCACTTTTGTAGGACCTAGTATCTGTCCTTCAGCTAGATGTTTGTGTGGGTTAGAGGCCAGGATTATAGATTGGCTTGGAATATTTATTTAGACATTAAGGGCAGGTTAGTGAGAGCACAATGCCATGATTCTGCAGAACAGTGCTTGTATAGTGTGAGGTTTCCATGAAAGTGACTTCAAGTGTTACCTCTCTTATAAAGTATGCTTATGTCCTGTTTGGAAAAAGGAATATACCAACTTGGGTGGTTTTTTTCTTATTATTTTTAACTCACCTCTTCTTATTGTCTACAAAGTAATAACCAGTTGAGTTTCCGTGCATACTGGAAATCAAATGTCCTTATTTTAGAGCTTTTTCTGTGTAATTGAAATTACAGTGCATTGTTATTGTGAAACTAACATTTAATTCTCACATGAGATGTAAGGGTATGCATACAAATGCAAAAAAAAAGCTGGAGAAAACTAAAGTGGTTGATTAGAAAATCGGATGATTATTTTACTCGGTAATCTGATTTTTTTTCAAATTATAACTGTAAATCAAACTTTCCCAAAATTTTTCAGCTAAACTTTGTGGAATGTTGACCATCACTTCAATATTCAGTGCTAGTAACATGATGGTGATTTACTTTAAAAGTGATGGTAAAAATCGTTTGCAAGGCTTCAAGGCTAGATTTACCGTTTTGCCCTCAGGTGAATATAAACACTTGTGGACTTTTGCTTATGAAAATGGTTACAGGGAAGATTATTTAGCTGTGTTTACCTAAATGTAGGATAGCAATCCCCTCAGTAAGCATAACAAAAATGCAGATTTCTGGATCCACCCCCAGAGACCTAGATTCTGTAGATCTGGGATGGGGCCCAGGAATCTGTGCTTTAGGAAGCACCTCAGGTAATGCTCAAGAAATGGCATCCACTGGAACATAAAGATTCCACATGCCACACACAGAAAGAAGATAATTAGGATTAAAGAAGGTAATTCAGAAATGAGATTGACTGGCTCTGTTTTACCAAGTTAGGGGGTTTTGAAGAATTAATAGGTATCCTGGCATTCTGGAAGATAAAGTACATGCTACTCAGACAAAAAGAATATCATATGCAAAAACCCTAACAAAAGAGAATGGATAAGAAAACTACAAATAACTCAACATGTTTTGAGTTTTGGAGGGAACAATAGGAAAGGCAGGAGTGAGATCATGTTGAACATGAGGCATTAAATTATAAGTGCCAGAGTGATAGGATAGCTAGCTAACATTTGATTATTTGCTCTGTAGCAGGTATTCACTGAGCATTTCACATGCATTACCTCATTTATTCCTCCTTACATACATAGGAGCTATGTGCATTGCTCTCCTCTCACCAGTGAGGGAACTGAGGCTTTGAGAAGTTAAGTAACGTTCCCAAAGATGCACAGCTGGCAAGAGATGGAGTCAGAACTTGGTCTCTCTGACTCCAGAGTAATCTGGAAGATTATGAATGAACTTATATGCAAGAAAAATACTAAGAAAATCATTGTAAATAATTTATTCTATTTTTTTTTATTATATATACCCTTGCAGGGATGGAATATATGAAGGAAGCCAAGTCCAGTATTGTATTAGTCAGCGTTCTCTTAGACACACACACATATATATATATATATATATATATATATATGTGTGTGTGTGTGTGTATTAAATATTACATCATGTAAGTAAATATTTAATATATATGTGTGTGTGTATTAAATATTAACTTACATGATCACATGTAAGTTACATGATCGTGTGTGTGTGTGTGTGTGTGTGTGTGTGTGTAAGTATTAAGTTACATGATCACAAGGTCCCACAGTAGGCTATCTGCAAGCTGAGGAGTAAGGAGAGCCAGTCTGAGTCCCAAAACTGAAAAACTTGTAGTCCAATGTTCTAGGGCTGGAAGCATCCAGCATGGAAAAAAGATGTAGGCTGGGAGGCTAGGCCCATCTCTCTTTACATGTTTTTCTGCCTGCTTTATATTATCTGGAAGCTGATTAGATTGTGCCCACCAGATTAAAGGTGGATCTGCCTTCCCCAGCCCACTGACTCAAATGTTAAATTCTTTTGGCAACACCCACACAGACACACCCAGGATTAATACTTTGTATCCCTCAATCCAATCAAGTTGTATCCCTCAATCCAATCAAGTTGATACTCAGTATTAACCGTCACAAATATGATTTTCAGGATCCTAGCTTGAATGGTGAGGTGAATGGTAGAAGCCACTAGATGATAGAGAAATGTAAGAACAAGACTATATTGACTCTTAAAATCACTTGGTTCAATTTAAGACGTGTAGATATTAGCTTGTGGGAAATCCAAGTGGGGATATCTAAAAGTCTTAGGTTAGGATTCAGGAAAGAGATTTAGATTGAAGAGAGAAATCTGGAAGTCATCTACATGTAGATGAATAAAAACAGAGTAATGAAAATTACCTTGGCAATATATTTTCAGGCTAAAAAATGAGATCCTGAAAAAAAGACATATTGGAAACAGACAGCCATCAATATATAAGGAAAACCTTGAGATTAACATCAAGAAACCAAGGAAGGAAGAAGTACTTAAAAGAGCCAGATGCCACAGGGATATTAAGAGATATACAAGAAATCACATTTCTGGGATCTGGCATCTAGTGTATGAATGGTTGTGTTAGTAAGATCTACAGTAGAGTAGTTTTATGATTTACCAAGGTAAGCAAGTGGGGTCAGTTAGTGCAACTTCTCTAATTACTTTCAATTACAATTTTGTTTTCTTCTACAGAGTCTTTAAACAAAATTGAACCAACATTACCTCCCCAAAACAATCCTGTATCTACTATAAAAGCTATTCTGCATGGTGAGTTGATGACACGTTATTATTGTTTAATCTTTTTTCTTCATTAACTAGATGTCTCTTTTGAAAGTCCTTATCTTATATTTGCTATAACTCCACAGTGAAGAAGAATGAGTCTTGTATTTAGGTTCATAAAATGTCCAGAGTCCTATTTGGATTTATAGTTAGACTTATAAGTAGAGGGAAGAACAAATAAGCTTTAGGTTAGGAAGAAAAGGGTATAAAGCAATGTTTTGTCCTCGTCTATTCCTCTACAAACTTAATATCTAAAATGACTTCTATAGTCAGTGTGGGGCAAAGGGAGAAAACAAAGGTTTTTTTATTTTAAATTCACACTGGCATCTTTTAATTTTCTTATGCTCTAAGGCATCTGGGTAAATACTATGATCCACACGCATGTATTGAATATGTTTAAGTTGACGGACTGGAATAGAAAGTTGCATAAGGAGCTATCAGAGAAGAAAATATCTGCCTCTTGCTGGAGGGTTGGAGAAGGCTTCCTGGAGGTTAGCACTTGGGCTATGGGTCTCACCAACTCCTGATAAGAGAACAGCATTTAGATGCCTGAGCAAATTTGATATGTTTGACGATTAGTACATGGATTCATACTGTGAGAATGAGAACTAAAACAAGAAGATATAATGAAGAACCTTATGTACTCTCCTAACAAACTTGAAACTTTCCTACTAGAATGTAAGTTCCATGAGGGCCAGTATTTGTATCATCTGTTCTATTCCACCAATAATATATCACCAATGTCTAGAACAGTGCCTAGCAAACGGCAAGCACTAAATAAATTTTGCTAAATGAATAAATAAAATTCTGGGGGCCGGTCCCTAAAATTCTGGCTGCCTAGCATAGTCACCTGGGCAGGCTTCTTAAAATCAGACTTTTCATACAAAAAACTAGCCGGACGAGGTGGCAGGCGCCTGTAGTCTCAGCTGCTCGGGAGGCTGAGGCAGGAGAATGGTGTAAACCCGGGGGGCGGAGCTTGCAGTGAGCTGAGATCTGGCCACTGTACTCCAGCCTGGGCGACAGAGCAAGACTCCGTCTCAAAAAAAAAAAAAAAAAAAATTCAGATTTTTCAGAGGTGAGTTTCGGGAGTCAATATTATTATTAAGCCTATCTGATGTTTGAGACTCACTACTGTTAACTATGGCAAGCTATTGGAGAAATGTGTTCTAAATTACTGCAACCTTATGGGTCACTGATTTCATCTTCTTTACTGTAGATGTCTGTGGCATCCCTCCATTTAGTCCCCAGTGGCTTTCCAGAAGAATCGCAGGAGGGGAAGAAGCCTGCCCCCACTGCTGGCCATGGCAGGTGGGTCTGAGGTTTCTAGGCGATTACCAATGTGGAGGTGCCATCATCAACCCAATGTGGATTCTGACCGCAGCCCACTGTGTGCAATCGTGAGTAAAACTGGTATTTTACCAATGTATTTAGCACATGCATTTATAAGTAATGCCTAGGACACAAGGCTGACTACTAAGATCATCCAAACTAATTCTAAAACGAAAATCTTCTTTTAGTGTTTCTTCTGCATAGCCATCTAGCTTATATTTAAACAATGTCAATGAAGGAAAAGTTGATCAAATCTTGAGTGCTCATCCCATTTAAAGAGATCTCTTATTATGTAGAGTTGAAGTCTCCTTCCCAATTGCAGAAATCCATTGGTCTAAATGTACTGTAGTTCCAAAACTAAGCTGGGTTCTTCTTTCACGTGATAGTTCTTTCTATATTTGAAGACTCCTCTCACATTCCCATTTAGCTTAATCTTTAAGCTAAGTGCTCATGGTTCCACTGTTGGTTGTTAGTAATTCCAGATGCCTTACCACACAAGCCACCTTCCACTGGATTGGTTTAGGATTGTTCCTTTGCAAATATGGATCATGTCAGTGGAAAGCACAATAGAATAACCTACCACTTTGATTATTGCACTATTGGGGAACTAAAATTTTGGTTAATTTTTAAATGTTCTTAAATTGTGAAGTCTTCCATTGTATGAAATAATATACATAATATATTTGTAGTTTAAAGAATAGATATTAATGTTAAATGAACATTTGTATTGCCAGCATCCAGTTTAGGAAGAATCTTTATACTTACCTTTCAAGACCCCTTAGAATCCCTCTCAAGAAATACTATGCTAAATTTACAAGGAAAAAAACTAACAACCCTATCAAAAAGTGGGCAAAGGGTATGAACAGACAATTCTTAAAAGACTTTTATGTGGCCAACAAATATATGAGAAAAAGCTCAATAACATGGGTCATTAGAGAAATGCAAATCAAAATCACAATGAGATACCATCTCACACCCATCAGAATAACAATTATTAAAAAGTCAGGAAACAACAGTTGCTGGAGAGGATGTGGAGAAATAGGAATGCTTTTACACTGTTGGTGGGAGTGTAAATTAGTTCAACCATTGTGGAAGACAGTGTGGCGATTCCTCAAGGATCTAGAACCAGAAATACCATTTGACCCAGCAATCCCATTACTGGGTATATACACAGAGGATTATAAATCATTCTACTATAAAGACACATACACACATATGTTTATTGCAGCACTATTCACAATAGCAAAGACTTGGAACCAACCCAAATTCCCATCAATGATGCATGGTTAAATAAAATGTGGCACACACATACCATGGAATACTATTCAGCCACGAAAAAGAATAGATCATCTCCTTTGCAGGGACATGGATAAAGCTGGAAGCTATCATTCTTAGCAAACTAACGCAGGAACAGAAAACCAAACAACGCTTGTTCTCACTCATAAGTGGGAGTTGAACAATGAGAACACATGGACACAGGGAGGGGAAAAACACAGGGGGTGGGAGACAAGGGGAAGGAGAGCATTAGGACAAATACCTAATGCATGTGGGACTTAAAACCTAGATGATGGGTTGATAAGTGCAGCAAACCACCGTGGCACATGTATACCTATATAACAAACCTGCAGATTCTGCACATATATCCCAGAACTTAAAATTTAAAAAAAAATCAAAAGAGAAAAAAATGCTATGCTAAATTTCTTAAATGCTGTATTCATAGCTTTGCTTTTGGGGGATTTCAATATATATGTACCCCTAAAACAGTATGTCATTTGGTTTTTCTTGGTTTTGATCTTTATGTAACAGAACTGCCGTTTATATTCTTGTGTCTTACTTCATCTCCATAATACCTTGTATAGATTAAGCCATGTGACTGTGTGGAACTGTAATTTGTTTTCGATCCAGACTAGTCAAAGCCATCCCTTGTTCTGGGCATTGGTATTTTTGAAAAGTTTCCCAAATGACTCTAATGCGCAGAGGGTCAAGAACCACTCCCTGCCTCCCAGACCCTATCTTTTTTTGAGAACAGGTTTCCCTCTCTCACAGACTGGAGTGTAGTAGCGTGATCATAGCTCACTCTAGTCTTACCTCTTGGGTTCAAGGGATCCTCCCACCTCAGCCTTCTGAGCAGCTGGGACTACAGACACATGCCAACATGCCCGATTTTTGTTTGTTTGTTTGTTTGTTTTTGTTGCTGTTGTTGTTGTTTTGGGCTTCTTTGTAGACACGGGGTCTTGCTATGTTGTACAGACTGGTCTTGAACTCTTGGGCTCAAGTAATCCTCCCACCTTGGCCTCCCAAAGTGCTGGGATTACAGGCGTTACCCGCTATGTCCCGCTTCCCTGACCCCTTCTTGATCAGTTCCCTGCTTGCTCCCAGTAGGCCAGCCTCATGGGCTTTTCTGTTGCTCAGATATGCTGAGCTTGTTCCTGTCTCAAAATCATTGTAGTTGCTGCTTCAGGACAGCTCATTATGTTTAGTTGTCAAGTCTCCTCAGGCTGTTCTTGGCTGTAAACTTCTAAGACTTTCCTTGGTCATTTTGAGGAGATCTCATCTGTTATTTTTGTAGAACGTCCCATTTTTGTCAAGGTTTTACTAGGGTTATAGATTTGGAGGAGGAAGACCACAGAAGTAGCATACTATTCTTATCATATATCAAGGGTACATACAGTCAACATGACTTATCACTGATGTTAACCATGACCATCTGGCTGAGGTAGTGTTTACCAGGTTTCTCTAACATAAAGTTACATTTGTCCCCCTTTCCATACTTACTCTTGGGAAACAAGTCAGTAAAGGTAGCCCACGTTCAAATTATTCCAGCTTTGGCCATTGCGAGCTCTTTCAGAGGTAGAGACCAGCCTTTGGCTTCTGTCTCTTTGATACTCCCTCATATTTTGTAACACTGCAAGATACTTCAGGTCTGTCGTGTGTATTTCCTTCTCAGTTCCTGCACCAGCCATTTCTCCAAGGGGCCCTGGTTCATTTTATTGGAGAATGGTATGACAAATCATGATCTGATGCTGGGCATACCAGTTGCTAGTAGCACATTGTTGGTTCTAGGCCCTCTCAGCTGACAGAGCTAGAAAATACAGGTATGTATACTAACCCATGTATATAAATATATCTATCTGTATCTATTATCAAGCTAAACATGGGTTCATACAATATTTTCAGCTCTAATTCAGTACCACCTGCTTTTGTCTAGGCCTTCTCTCCCTTACAAAAACCTATTTATTTTTTAAGAATTCTATCAATGTGCATTGAATGTACCATGGAAAAGATGCTTCAAGAGTAGCTGATTAATTTGTTAATGTATTAGAAAATAAAATATTAGTATTGAGTACAGAGACACAGAAAAAGTTTTGGTAGATTCCCTTTTCAAATTACATGGTCTATTCTGAAATTTATGTGATGAGCCATGTTGCCTTGCAGCAAGATAGAGAATGTAACAAACCTATTCTTCCCAAGATAGATATTCCATGTGATGAATCAATTGAACTTAATCAACAGCTGTAAATGTTTGTGAGCCACTTGTTAGCCACAAAAAGAATTTGTATTTAATTTCATTTGTGACTTCTTAGTTTCTTTAAAAATATGTATTATAATAGTAATGTTTTTGGGGAAAAAGGCAGTTAGAGAAGATTATCAAGTTAGAGCTTAAACTACCCTCTCCATTTATCTAACATACTCTTTTTCTCTAGATGTCATCAATGTTAAGAATGTTTCAATTGTCTGATTTTCTACTAATATTTAAAGATACATGTATATATTTTATAGTATTTGTATATATCACTTTTTTTGCACATAACATTATATCTTACATTTATAGTGGTATGGTAAATGTCTATGTGCCATATTTTTTAATAGTTCACAGTTGCCTAAGTTATTTGACCAGTGAAATGTCTTTTTAAATCTAATCCTTGAAGTCTGTGGATCTTTACACCAGAAGTGTACTAATAATGCTGGTGTAACAAAAACCCTATGTCCTACACGTGCCCTGCCTTTTAGCTTCCCTGGCACTGGTTGACCCTAGTATTAATTCTCAAACTTCAACATACTTCAGAATCACCTGGAGAGCTTCTGATTCTTTAAGTCTGGTGCGAGGCCCGAGCATTTCCTGATGGTGGTGTTCCACACTTAGGAAAATTTGGTGTTCTCATCTTGTTAATTCCACATAGGATTTTGTGCTCACTGGGACTTTTAACTTACTTTTGGAGACCAAGCTCACTTTGCAACTACATATGTGAATCTTTTGTCTAAAATTTAAATCAGCTACTGAAACTTCAGTGACTTACTTTCTGTGATCAAGTCAGGTGGCTCTCTCTTCTTCCATAGCAGTAAGTGACACATGCTCCATTGTTGGGCTGGGGATAAGATCCTAAGACTATAAGAAATGAAATTTTATATGGGAGATGGGGGAAGAAAGGGTGAAGAAATCCATCAATTGATACCTTCAGCTATTTTCCCACTATTGGAAAAATCTCAAGCTTTGTGGTATCATAAAGTGTATGTGGCTTTGGCGTGTTTTTTTTACAGTGTTCTCCATTAAACTGAAGGATATTTGATGCCTGTACATGCAAAACATCACAAGAAACTGTGGTCTACATTATCAACTCTACCATCATTTTTATTACTTCATTGTATTGTATACACTCTATTCTATATAAAGATATGGAGTAGATTTAAGAAGTTTCATCACTACTAAGTACTTATTTAGAGGGTGACTTTGAAAAAGTTTAATCCTTTCATTAGCATGCATGGCAGATAATAAGAATGATAATGGCTATCATTATGGAGTCATTACCATCTACCAGGTACTTGCCAAGTACTTCACTTGAGTTAGCTCCCTTAATAAAGGCATGTTGAAACACATGAGCAAGTCAAACCCATTATGCAAGGAATTGAAATGAGCATGGTTATGACTGGGGAGAAGATGCCTACATGCATTAAGAATCTCTACCTTTGAATAAGGTATATTGAAAATAATTTCAGTAACTTTACTTTTCCTGAAGAAACAGTGTTTAAAAAAAAAAATGGAAGAATTAGTCTCCAAGTAGAAGTGACAGTATATTGGTTCCGGTAGAGGGACTCTTCCCTCAGACACTTTTTAAGCTGGAGATTTTGATATGGTAAGTTAATGGATATTGATTCAAACTTCTTAACATCATTTTGAGGTATATCAGAAGTATGCAGAACTTTTCACCCAATGAACACCCATATAACCAACACCGAGATCGAGAAACAAAATATTACATTAACTAGTACCCAGCAGTCGCCCTTGTGCCTCTTCCAGTCATCATTCCCCTAAAAATAATCAGCATTCTGATTTCTAATGCAATAGTTGAATTTTGCCAATTCTCAAACTGATAAATTCCTTTGAACTTTAGTTTTATAACTCTGATTTAACAGAATATGGAAATCTGAGATACGATCCAGTGAGATCATAATTTGGCAATATTGAACAGTAAAATATAGACCAAAAGCTACCTTGTCACAGGTGTAATTTTTTAAACATATTCTTAACATCACTGTGAAATAAAGCTTTAATTATTTTCATTTTTCCTCCTCGACCTAAAAAAGGCTTTGGTAATATTTGGCAAGGTTTCCAATGACACTTTCTGGTCAAAAGAAAGGGGCAGGATACATGATCAAGAGCTCCTCTTCACATAGATCAGAAGGCACGATATGGCTTCCCCGGGAGGGAGATCGCAGAGGCAATCGGACAGGGGACTGTTGCCTCGCTGAACTGAGCAGTGCGTGTTAGTAGGGCCAGATGATGGCAGGGCGGTTTCCCTCATGCTGTTCTCCTGATGGTGAGTTCTCACAAGATCTGATGGTTTAAAAGTGTGTGGCTTCCTTTGCTCTCTCTCTCCTGCTTTGCCGTGATAAGATGAGCTTGCCTCCCCTTTGCCTTCTGCCATGATTGTTAAGTTTCCTGAGGCCTCCCCAGCCATGCAGAACTGTAAGTCAATTAAACCTCTTTTCTTTCATAAACCTCTTTTCTTCAGAAAGTCTTCAAAAGACTTTATAGTCTCAGGTAGTCTTTTATAGCAGTGTGAGAACGAACTGTTACAAATGTGTTTTCATGTCAAACTTTCACTGTTCCTCTGTCTCCAGGAAGAATAATCCACTCTCCTGGACCATTATTGCTGGGGACCATGACAGAAACCTGAAGGAATCAACAGAGCAGGTGAAAAAATGTTTTTACAGGTCATTCTGCCTGTACTGTAAATGTTGTCACATGCCAAGGAATACCTTTAGCTAAAATATGTAATTGGTTATTAATCTCCTAGGGCCCTTTTACACTTATCATTTATACCCACATTTAAAAATGTAATTTGAAATTACATTTTCACTTGAGAATTACACGAAGTAGGTCAGAATTGCAAATTTAGGCCCAAGGACACAGGTTTTCAAAGCTTTGTTTCTCCAGCACCACCTTTATCCAGAAGGTGGTTCACAGCCTCCTGCAAATTATAAACCAAGATTGCTCTTTTATATTTAACACAAAGTCTTCTTCATTGCTTAGGTATGTAAGTGCAGAGATTTAAGATTATTTTGGACCTTCAACAAGGAAGTAGCTGGATTCTTTGACTTTCTTACCTTGTAATTTGCTTACTTGCCACTGATACAGGTGAGAAGGGCCAAACACATAATGGCGCATGAAGACTTTAACACACTTAGTTATGACTCTGACATTGCCCTAATACAACTAAGCTCTCCTCTGGAGTACAGCTCGGCAGTGAGGCCGGTATGTCTCCCACACAGCACAGAGCCTCCGTTTTCCTCAGAGATCTGTGCTGTGACCGGATGGGGAAGCATCAGTGGAGGTAAGCATTTTTTGTTTCTTAAACATTAATGCCAGTTGTTATTTTTGAAAATAGGTCGTGTAAATGATATCAAGCAGCATCCGCTTCAGCCCCTCTTCTTTCTAAAAGATAGACACCATGTTTTATTTAGCTGTAATAGATCAGCAAGTAAATAGAGAATTAGCTATTTAAAACTTTTCCTTCAGGGTAACTTAGATTATAAATAGGCTAGATTAGCAGTCAACAAATCTTTACTGTAATGGGCCAGATAATAATCCTTTCAGGCTTTGCAGGTCATCTGGTCTCTATCACAACTATTCAAGTCTACCGTTATAGCATAAAGCAGCCATTGGCAGTATGTAACAGAATGGGTTCCAACAGAACTTAATTTATAAAATTTATATTTCATTTAATGTATATGTGTCATGAAATACTGTTCTTTGGATTTTTTTTAACCACCTAAAAATGTACAAACCATTCTTATCTCATGGATTGTGCCCATGTTTGGGGGTGGCACAGAATTCATCCACTGGCTGTCATGTGCTCACCCCTGGCTACGGTATAGAACTCTTAAAGGCTTAGTAACACAGTGAAAGATTGGAATGGGTTGATATTTGTTTTGTGCTTCTTATACCATAAGATCATTTTCTTTGTATATTTCCTTTCTGTATGTCATTTATTTGGAATCTGTGAGCTTGAAGGAGAAGGGAATTTATATTTGACTGCTTACAGTGTTGATATTCACTGCTTACTGTGCTACCTGAAGCCAAATTGCACTTTCATAAAAACCTTCACACCCAACACATGAGGAGCTTTTACCATCCCCATTTTACAAATAAGGAGGTTGCAACCCGAAGATTTAAGTAACTTGCTAAGATCCCATAACTAATAAATATCAAAGTGAGGATTTAAGATCGGTGTGGCTCAGCTTATAATCATTCCTTAATGGCTTCTCATTACACATACAATCAAATCTGAACTCCTTAGCCTAGCTTGGAAAGCTTTGTGTGATTGGGCCTCTCCACTTATCTCTTCCACATAATTTCCCTCTTTTTTTCTTGTGGTTAACCTTCAGATACCATGGCCTTTCTCCTTTCGCTTAAACACCAAGCTTGCTCTGCTTTCTGAAGTTCCTCATTTTGTGTCCTTCTACTTGGAGCACTCTTATTACAATCTTGTCACATCTGCCTGCTCATTATTGCATTTTCAACCAAAATATCACTTCCTTTCTTGGCCCACATTGCTGCCACAGGACAGGCTTCCGGTCACATTCCGCACTACCTGGTTTTATCCTCTCACTGCACGTTAATGTATTTGGCATGATTTCATGCAGTCATCTTCTACATCTCACCCACTAGACTGAGAACCTCTTGGAGGCAGATCTGTCATTGAGCACTCTCTCCCCAAGGCTAGAAGCCTACATGGTATTCAGTAAATATTTCTTGGCTTACCAGTTTCAAAGCCCTTGAATAAATGTGCCTGCTCTCTAATACCTTTGACCTTTGCCAATTCCATGACTACCAGGCAACTGAGAGGTAGTTAGTTTTATAAAAGGTGAATTCATTCTTTCCAGCTAGGAGAGGAAATGAATCTTGATTCCTGGGATATGGTCAGTAACACTAAGGGAGATGGTCCCCAAGAAGAGGAGTTTTAGTATATTAAGAAGAATGCAAGATTCAGAGTTGAACTTAGGCTTGATTCTAGTTCTGTCCCATAAGAGCTGTGAGATCAAATTTTCAGAGGTCTGGCTTTTTCATATGTGAGATCAGTGTGATTAACCTGATCTCACATATGAAAAATGTTGTTGTATTAAGTTGGAATAAAACTCTTTATAAATATTAAGATACTATATAAATGTAACGTATATGCTATTAATATTGCCCCAAAAGGTATAGGGCTATAAAATATTAAACTTAAAAAAATTGGTCATAAATCTAAAATGATAGGATAAGTCATGCAAAATACATGTTAACATAGGCCTGCCTAAGGATCAAATATGAAAATAAATTATTTGTGTTTTCTTTAATTGGAGGTGCGATTAGGCTTCAATGACAGTAGATGAAAAACAGGATTATGATTTTTGTTTATATTTGGAAATCATATAAGCATATTATTTGTAAGCAATTATATATTTATATATATAAATATATAACCATATATATTTGTAATTGTATAAGTCATATATGACACCAATTCATATCATGCTGAATTTTTCTTCCTGAATTCTTATGCAGAAATATTTGATACACTAATGTTTAAATTGAAAATAAGCTAGGAAAAAAGTGTTTCTGGTTTTATTCTCCTGCCAGTGGCCTCTCTTTACAAAAATGCCAAATTGGGACATGAAGACATGTCACATGAAACACTTGTATTTTTTAACTTCAGTATTCTACATCAGCTGAGGCCAAACTGAATGACTTCAGCTATGTTGGTAAAGAGCTAAGTCTGAACTTAAATACATTTCTAATATCACTTGCTTCTTACTTCATCATCGAGCTCTCTCTGAATGTTTCTTCAATAGATGGTGGCTTAGCAAGTCGCCTACAGCAGATTCAAGTGCATGTGTTAGAAAGAGAGGTCTGTGAACACACTTACTATTCGGCCCATCCAGGAGGGATCACAGAGAAGATGATCTGTGCTGGCTTTGCAGCATCTGGAGAGAAAGATTTCTGTCAGGTGAGAGGATTCTGGTTTTATACAGGAAGGTGGAAAATTGCCATCTGCTGGAGAGTTTCTATAGACAGGAGAAACCACTGCTGAAGCCACCAACTTGTCATGTGGTGACACATCCCTGCATGAAGACCAGTGGGGCAACAGAAGTAATAAGTTAATTAATCCGAATTTGCTGAGATGTCAGAGAGTGACTGGAAGCAGCTGTACAGCGAGAGAGGCCGGTGGGTTCATAGAGGAGCTGGTGAGAAGGTAGGAAATAGCAGAGCCTCTCAGCAGGCCTGAGCAAGGGAAGATGTATTCAGATATACTTAAAGCTTTCAGAAAAGGAAAAACAAAGGTTCTAAACTTATGTGTCCTATATATGACTTAAAAGTTTCATTGGTTTATATTATCATTAATCTCTGTACTCTCACTTAATTTTTCCACCACAAATTAAAACAATCACAAAGATGTCTACTGTACAAGCTTGATATTGGCAAGTTCATGATTAACTAAGAAAAAGACAGAATGTGAATGAATAGATTGTAGAATGCCAGCTTTAACATTCACAAAGTCAATGGAAGAATGTGGCTTTAGATATACATACAACCGAAGAGTTTCTAACACTCCATGTGCCCACCTCCAATCCCTGGTTTGGATTTGAGGCTACCCACGTAAGGGAAAGTTTGGGTCCATAGGGCAGCCCCAGTTCTCCAGACTTATCACTCCTACTGGTCTGGCGTAGAGAGGAAAGAAAGAATGAATCTTGTTTCTGCAGCTCTTTGATAGTTTTCCCCAGCACTCAGTGAAGAAACATGCAGCAATAGATTTCACCTCCATGAGGGAGAAACAACTGGGCATTAATCTAGGTGGATGTCCTTCCGTGTAAAAATGTGAGAGAGGGAATGAAGTCCCCTTTAACACTGAATATAAATTTATTGTCATTAACCCCTTCCTTTTATAGCATCAAGCGGTGGTGCTTAAATTCTGTTTTAATTTTGCATATATTTATTTGCATTTCCCAGAAGCAGACCCTGAGATAAGAATTCAGGTGCAACGGTCTGTTTTAGGAATCATAGATATCACCGGTAGGAAAGGGAGGTGATGGTACAGGGAAGGGAAGGCAGCCAATATAGGATGCATTATTAAGCTGTCTGCCATAGTGAGGGCCTAAAGCTTAATCCTGCAGGAAACTCAGGGCAGTGATGCTAAATACACGTGATGGATTTATCCATCTGAGGGGCGAGGGAGCTGGGATATTTATGTACTACCTTCCCTGGAGCCACACTTTGAGTGCTGCTGTGGGAAAGGGCTGTTAATCCCTCAGCACTTCCCATACTTTAGGATTGCCTCCTGGGTGGAGTGGAGAGTGGGGAGGACCCCAGACACAGATCCAGGACATGGGCTGGAAGATGTGAGGAAGATGGAAAGTGCACTCCTGCTGTCTGCTAGACTACATAAATGTTATCTGATAAAAATCACAAAAGTACTCTGAATTAGTGTGTTCATTCTTCCCCTCAGTCTATTGCAGGATTTCAGGGATGGCTTTTCTTTCTTCAACAAGAAGATCACAAGTAATTATGTTGTCTTTTACATATTTGACAGCATCTAACATTACAGGGTGAGCTTATTTTGTGTGGAAAGAAAAGAACTAGAGAGGGTCTTAGAAAGGTCCATGTCACGGGTGACCTAAGTATCATGATCTCAGTTGGCACTTATGTTTTCAGTTATATACAACTGTCACTTTGGCTGCAGCATGACCAAATGTACTGCCCATATATGGGAGGAAAACTAGAAGTTGAGGTTCTAATATATATGACTAGCTTTCTATTACAAAGAACACTGAGTTACTAAAAGGGTGACTTTAGAAACTTGCTTTGACAAAATAGTCTCTAATACTTCTATCAGGTAATTGATTTTTATTCTCATGTGTATACTTAGAGGTAATAGACCTGCTAATGTGCTTTCTCATCCAGGAAGGTGGGAATAACAATATTGGAATGCAGAGACATGGGGTTTTCAGGTATGCAATGTAGTATCCTGTTGTTCTTTGCTAACTGGATTTCAGATTTTTTTATTCTAAGTTCTTTTTCAATTTTTAATTTTGTGGTTGTATAGTAGGTGTATGTATTTATGGGGGACATGAGATTTTGATACAGGCATACAAGGAATAATCACATCAGGGTAAATGGGGTATCCATCACTTCAAGCATTTATAATTTGTGTTACAAACAATCCAATCACATTGTTTTAGTGATTTTTAAATGCACAATTAAATTATTATTGACTGTAGTTACCCTGTTGTGCTATCAAATACTATTTGTACCCATTAATTATTCCCACTTCCCCTAGACTCAGTCACTACACTTCCCAGCCTCTGGTAACCATCCTTCTATACTCTATCCCCATGAGTTACATTGTTTTGATTTTTAGCTCCTACAAATAAATGAGAACAGGCCAAGTTTGTCTTTCTGTGCCTGGCTTATTTAACTTCACATAATGACCTCCAGCTCCATTCACGTTGTTGCAAATGGTAGGATCTCATTCTTTTGTATGGCTGAGTAGTACTCCATTGTGAACATGCACCACATTTTCTTTATCCATTCATCTGTTGATGGACACTTAGGCTGCTTCCAAATCTTGGCCCTTGTGAATAGTGTTGCAGTAGACATGGGAGTGCAGATAACTTTTCAATATCTTGATTTCCTTTCTTTTGGGTATATACCTAGGAGTGGGATTGCTAGATCAATGGGGGAATTCAATACTATTCTGTATAATGGTTGTACTAATTGACGTTCTCATCAATAATGTACATGGGTTCCCTTTTTCTCCACATCCCTGTAAGTATTTGTTATTGCCTGTCTTTTGGATAAAAGCCACTTTAACTAGGGTGAGATGATATCTCAATGTAGTTTTGATTTGCATTTCTCTGATCAGTGATGTTGAGCACCTTTTCATATACCTGTTTGCCGTTTGTATGTCTTCTTTTGAGAAATGTCTGTTCAGATCTTTTGTCCATTTTTAAAATCAGATTATTAGATTTTTTCTAGAGAGTTATTTGAGCTCCTTAAATATTCTGGTTGTTAATCTCTCGTCAGATGGGTACTTCGCAGAAATTTTCTCCCATTCTGTGAGTTGTGTCTTGGCTTTGTTTTCTTTGCAGTGCAGAAGATTTTTAACATGATGTGATCTTATTTGTCCATTTTTGCTTTGGTTACCTGCGCTTGTGGGGTATTACTAAAGAAATCTTTGTTCAGTCCAGTGTCCTGGAAAGTTTCCTCAGTGTTTTTTTTTTTTTTTTTTTTTTTAGGAGTTGTCTTCGCCTGGAGTGGTGTTCCTCCTGCAAGTGTGTTTCTTTTGTAGTGAATATTTACAGCCATGTAGTTTTTGTTTTTTTTTGTAGCGGGGTTTACTAGAGGATTTATCTTTGTGTTCGTCCAGAGTGCTGGGAAGGCTTGCCCCCCGTCCTCAGTGTTTTTTAAATTAATTTCATAGTTTGAGGTCTTAGATTTGAGTCTTTAATCCATTTTGATTTGACTTTTGCAAATGGTGAGAAATAAGGATCTACTTTCATTCTTCTGTATAAGGACATCCAATTTTCCCAGCACAATTTATCAAAGCGACTGTCCTTTCCCCAATGTATTTTTTTTTTGCACCTTTGGCAAAAATGACTTCAATGTAGATATATGGATTTTTTCTGGGTTCTCTATTCTGTTCCATTGTTCTATGAGTCTGTTTTTATGACAGTACTGTGCTGTTTTGGTTACTATAGCTTTGTAGTATAATTTGAAGTCAGGTAATGTGATCTTTCCAATTCTGTTCTTTTTGCTCAGGATGGCTTGGCTATTCTGAGTCTTTTGTGGTTCCACATACATTTTATGATTATTTTTTCTATTTCTGTGAAGAATGTCATTGGTATTTTTTCTAACTTATTTTCCTGTACAAAGTCACAGATCTCTCTTCACAGAATAATGTATGTCCTCAGCCACATTGATTGCCTTCTAACCTTCCAACTGGCCATGTCTTGCCTTAAAGCCTTAGCCCAGATGTGTCTTTTGCATAAAATGTTTTTCCTCCAGGTTTTTGGAAAGCTGGCTCCTTCTCATCCTTTATGTATCAGCTCAAATGTTATTGAAACTGCATACACATACATGTACATGTAAGCACACATATACCTACCTTTATTCTCTACCATTCACTCTGAGTATTTCTTTTGTAGCTACTATTAGCATCTTATTTGTTTATACTCTGTTTTACTCAGTATGTCTGGCTCACAGTAGGCATTGAATAATTTTTTAATAAAAAAGATTCATTTGTGGCTAGGCACGGTGGCTCACGCCTGTAACCCCAGCACTTTGGGAGGCCGAGGCAGGTGGATCACGAGGTCAGGAGATTGAAACCATCCTGGCCAACATGGTGAAACCCTGTCTCTACTAAAAATACAAAAAATTAGCTGGGCATGAGGGCACGTGCCTGTAGTCCCAGCTACTCGGGAGGTTGAGTCAGGAAAATCGCTTGAACCCAGGAGGCGGAGCTTGCAGTGAGCCAAGACCGTACTACTGCACTCCAGTCTGGGCAACAGAGCAAGACTCCATCTCACCAAAAAAAAAAAAAAAAAAAAATTCATTTGTTTGTTGAATATTTACTATGGACTAGACCATATGATAGGCACTGGCAAAAATAGACAAATTGGACAGGTTCCCTGTATCGTGGAATGTTTGTGATTGCCTGAAAAATTATGTATTGGCTATGCATTGGTACTGAAAAAAAATGAATGATTTAAAATAAAACACTTGACTGGATACATCACACCATTGTCCAACTGGAAAGGGGTCTTAAGTATAACTGTTACGTGAAAAAATTAGGCCCAGAGGAAAGGTTAATTGCTCTACATTACAGACTAGTGACTATATCTCTTTTTTCCCAAGTTAAGGTTTCTTCTGTTAAATTCTTTATGTAAAATAGATATTTCAAATATGTACCATCAATTTATGTGCCATCAAATATGTGCACAATTTATCTAACAAGAAGACAAATAAATGACTTAATTTGGTCCTAAATACATTTGTGTCCATCCACTTCCTGCAAAATACTTGATTAAAAATTGGAAAGCATACCCTAAAAAGATGAAAATCTATGTATTAAGGCTTGCTTTGATACAACTACTTTATAAAATTTCACTGTAAATTAAGCAAACGTTTATTTAGCATGTATTATGTGCTGAGTATTGTGGTAGGTTTCCTAGGATACAAAGTTGAATCAGATGCAGTGCTTACCCTCAAATGGGGCACACATTGTAAATAGAAGGAGACATAAACAAGGACATATATTGGGCACTGCCATTGATTTTCACATTGAACCTCAAGAGACATGTAGAAGAAGATAGTGCTAATTAATAGATAAATGTGTGTGATGTACATATTTTGGTTCCCTTGATAACAGTACCACTGTTGATTTTCTTCAAAATCTCTTTCTGCTTATAATTTATCAATTTAAACAATGCAAATATTGGGAGGAATATTAAAGAGAGACACTTCCATCTACGTGAGCTTCTTAGTGCTTGTGGGTAGTATTTTTGCCTTTTGAAATGTGTTTAATCATGATCTAAGTAGCCATATCTAAGAGAGTGAACAAAATTAACTATAAGTTAAATTTCCATGTGTCTTTCCTTGAATTCAGTAATTCTGTAAGCCCAATACCAGAGCAGTTTAAGGTACTTCCATTAATGAATATTTATCAATTTGGTGGAAGGGAAAGAGCACGGAACTTTGGCAGGTGACATGGGCTCAGATTTTACTGCTGCTACTACCTATGTGTGTGAAATGGGACAGGTCACTTATTTCTCTAATTGTAACTTTTCACATATAATATCTAAGAAAGTTAAATTAGTTTGACCCTTTAAATCTTTGAAATTGTGTAATTTTGGTACCTGCAGGTAAGCCAAAATAAAATTGGAATACTAGAATTAGAATGAGTACATTTTAATAGATTTAAGTCAGCCTTTCACTTTTCTTCACCTCACCACCAACACCGTAGTTTCTCTGTGTATGTCGTAACTCTACTCTTTGATCTGAATAGATTGTGTCAAAAGTGACCAGTGATAGGGAAAACACTACATGTAGAGGTAACCACCCAATGACCCTAACCCAATTTCCTTAAAAAAAAAAAAAAAAGAAGAAGAAAACAAAACAGGCAGCGCATTTCTTATGATGGATCCATTTGAGCCACTCTGCAGTTTTCTAAATAAATTTTTATTTTTAAAGGATGCTTGAAATCTTAAATATTACAGTTTTACTAATTGATATCATTTAAAGACTATGTCCCTCCAGTGGAGCTGGGAAGACTTAGTAATTGTTTTCTGATTATGTGAACTAAGCTTTCTCTTCACCCTGGAATCAAATTACCATCTGATTGTTCATAAATTTTGTTTCCTTTTGCAAAACAGTGAATATATAGTATGTAAAAATAGAAATTGACAAAGAACAAATCTTATTAAACACATTACAAATACATTATTGGCCATTCTTGTTCTAAAAATTGAAAGCAGGAGCTTCAGATTAAAGCAGTTTTCTAGAACATGTTTTCTTGGTGTTTCAGGGAGACTCTGGTGGGCCACTAGTATGTAGACATGAAAATGGTCCCTTTGTCCTCTATGGCATTGTCAGCTGGGGAGCTGGCTGTGTCCAGCCATGGAAGCCGGGTATATTTGCCAGAGTGATGGTCTTCTTGGACTGGATCCAATCAAAAATCAATGGTAAATTGTTTTCAGATGTTATTAAAACAATACCTCTTTCTTTAGAGTGGGTTTGGGAACAGTGAGTGTAGTATAAATTAGCGTGAAAGAGAAAACCATAGAGTAGAATTTCATTTAGTTACTAAACACACTAAAACGCAAGATTCTGCAAAATAAGTTCTCCCATATGTAGAGTTAGAGTAAAACTGACTTTTTCTGAGGCTGCTTTAATCCTGGATTTGTTTCTTTTTTGATAGTGGCTGCTTTGGTGCCGACTATATTTTGTCCTCAGGCTTTCATCTTTATTTTTAACATGTTCTCCCCAAATACAGGTCCTGCTTCACTTCAGACAAATAATACATGCAAAACCTTAAAACAACAGTTGCTACCACCCACACCTTCGCCAGGCAGTGCATCTTGGACAGGTAATAAATGTTCACATTGTCCCATTGCATTGTCTGTCTAGGTTTGCTAAATTTTCTGTGGAACACTGTGACCTCTGTTTTCCTTCTGGTTGGTAGTTTTAGCTGAAAGTGGGGAGAGTTGTTATTATGATTGCTGGAGATCATTTCTACCCCAAAGCTAGACCTGTTGCAGATTTTTTTTTTTAAAATGTTGTGGTTGTGAACAAGTGCTTGAATATTGGAGAGTTACATAGAATGATTTTAAGCTCTGAATCTGAACAAAAGTCCTTCTATATGCAAGTATCTTGCTAGGTAAAGACTCTGGGTATGAGACGACCAAGACCAGCATCAGCATTAGTATTTCTCTTCATTCTTCCACAGCTGTCACTGTCTGTTTGATAAAATAGGATTTTGATTTTTAGTCAAAACTAACAGCAACTGGAGGATGAGAAGTCTCTAATAGACTTGTAGGAAGATAGAAGTTCTATTTTATTTTATATCACTCTTGGTTTCCAAGTGGTAGTCTTTCTTTTGTTGCCCACATCTTCCCCTTCCCCAATACATTCAACCCCGGTAAACAACTAGGAAGAGTTCAAAGAAAATGTAAGATATAGAAGGTAGAATTGCAAGAATGAAGACTTTGAGTAGAAGAAAGAAGATGAGATCTAGTGTCCAAAAGGAGGGGATGGTCTTAGATAGGAGCAAAATACACATCATCTATAGTTAATGGATGGAAGGCAGGATCTTGAGGCATCAGTGCAGGTATGAGGTGTATGGGTATAGATGGAGATAGAAGCTTGCGGTATTTCTCTTCTGATTGCTTCTTTTTCTTAGCAGGCAAACAAAAAGAAGGGGTTGTTCAAGAAAGTTTGATTTTTTAAGAGAAAAAAGGATGAAATATCTCTCTAGAAAATAGCATAGTGAATAGAAAGACATAGTAGGACTGCTGGGTAGCATAAAGCCCCCCTGAGATGAACGATCATAATTTGAGAGAGCAAAATGCCCCCAGTTACTTAGTTGTATGTTTTCCTCTGGATACACTGAGGTAGATGCAGAGTAGATAGATTATAGATTTAATCAAAGTGGAGTGTTCCCAAGTATGTGAAGGGTATAAAGGAATTCAGAGTGTATGTGAATAAGTGGTTAAAATGATGGATCATTGGAATTTAGGATGGATAAGGAGTGAAATACAGATGAGAGATTTGTTTGGGACAAAAATAAGCTGGTAGGACACGTAAATTATGAGTCCCAAAAGGTGGAAGGAGTATTAAGGGAGACTGAAAAGATGGAAGGTCGTGGTTGGAGAAAATGGTTCCTGAAACTGAGATTACAGAAGGCTTGGAGTTACTGCTATTGATCAAGTGTCTAGGGGCTGACCGTAAGGATAAGTGGCTGAGGTCAGGTGGAAGACAAGATCATTGCAGGAAAGTTGAGGAGCTGGGAAACTTCAGTGCTGGAATCATATTGTATATAGTGATTGAAATCAGAACTATGACAGGAAAAGTGTTGGAGAAAATGACTGCTAAAATCTTCCAGGAATGAGGAGTGGACCCAGGACCATTTGTCTAGCAACATGAGTCAAAGAGTCAAAGCTGGGGATAGGTAGAGTTAGGTTAAAAGTAAATCTGAACTTGGGATTGAGACAGAGAGCAGACTTGAGTCCAAGATCCTATAAACTATTGATTTCAATGGACTGAGTTGAATGAGTTCAGTGAGTGCCTAAATAGGTTAATCCATGTAAGGCACTTAAAACAGGGAGGACCTGACCCGAGATAAGGGTCCATAAATGGTGGTGACAGTGCCATCTAATGTATTTTTTGAACGACCTTATTCAGGTCATTAGAAAATGAACATTGTTAAAATGTAAAGAAAATGTTTCTCTTTTAAATATGTTCAGATACAGTTATGCATGCTGAAGAACTTTGAAAGTTTTACATACAGAAAGGTGTTGCTTTGTTTTACTCTATGATTATTTTCAGAGACAAAATGTTAGGACCATGCCATATTTAACACCCACCCACTCCTGCCACTTACTTTTTGCACTAGGGAGTTAATGAATCTTAGCAATAGTTTCTTTCAGTTGTTACTCCCATTTATATAAAGTCTTGACTGATTGATAATTCATGGCTCTATGTGATTTCTGGCCAGACTTTTCACAGAGGATTCATATAGAGAGGGAGAAAAACTAAAAAGATTAGAAAGACAGGTTGAGGCCAGACTGAAAGATCTTGCAAGCTGAACTACTTTAGTTGCTTTCAGCAGGAAACCAATTTGATTTATTTTTATTTTATACACCATTCCCAGATGGTAGAGCATAGTGAGGAAAGATTATAGACTGAAAGATCATTTAGTTTACTATTAAATCAAAATGGTAAATATCTGATTAGATTCTTGTAGCCATACAGATAAAAAGAGGACTAACAAAGAAATGACAGAGAACCAAACAATGGAGTAGAATCCTAAATTTCTGTAGCACTTCATTTCCCTTATTCCACTTTTCACCTACCTCTACTGTTAATAAAAGCATGTTTACATACCTCCTCCTCAGTAACAGTATTAATTTCTCTAGGGCAGAGTATGTATAATTGTGTATTCACTAACGCATACATTCAAATATGAACATAGAATATTTCATTTTTTAATTGCTCAGAAAGTTTTTGTCAAAGGAATAGACATAAGCAAAGAAGAGAGAGTTAAGGACGAAGCCCTGGTGAGGACATAAGAGAAGCTGATTGCCAAGTCAGTGGGCCAGGGAAAAACTGACATCCAAACTGCAGAAGGTATCCCAAAGTTCCAAGGGTGCCCTTGGACTTAGCAAGCTGAAGAAGTGAGACATCTCAGTATATCCAGCAAATTATGTTTTTCATGACCTCAGTCACAAGCTCAAATGAATGTAATCATTTGTCCCAGTAAATTCAGCTAATTTAGTGAAGTTTTTAGGAACAGGTCTTCAGCTGCATCTCAAAGAAGGAAAAAAATGAAATCCTGCTGGGAATAGAGAATGCAACCTACTGTCTATTTTCTAAGAAACTTTAAAAATGCATTTAAAATTGATTCAAAATAATTGTGATCTAAATTCTACCTGTATAATATCATTTCAAGAAAATAAGACACATTAAATAGAGTGGTTTTTTAACATAATAATTTGTAACTGACAGTAACAAAGTCTTAATTTTCTTCTTTCAAGCCCAGGTTTTTCAGTCTTGTGATAGAACCTGGTTCTTCTTTGCTTTGTTTATGTTGGTCCCTGGTGTCTGTGTGTTCTGAATTGCAGGCTGTTGCTCTGATGCAGAGCTAGAAAAGCCCAGAGGCTTTTTTCCCACTCCACAATATCCACTGGATTATAGAGGAAGACTGGAATGTTCTTGGGTGCTCAGAGTTTCACCAAGCAGTATGGCAAAATTTACTGTTGAGTATCTGTCACTCCTGGGGTCTCCTGTGTGTCAAGACTCAGTTCTAATTATTTATGAAGAAAGACACAGTAAGAGGAAGATGGCAGGTAATCCTTCCTGGCATATAAACTTTGTGTTAGGAGTCTTGTCCATGTAGGCAGCTTATTATCAGGAATGAGTCTGACCTGGTAATAATGCTACCAAAATGTTGATCCATGTAATAGGAATGTAATAGGAATGCTTTTCCCCTTGCAAACACCCTTAACATTTTCATTATTATTATTATTATTATACTTTAAGTTCTGGGTGACATGTGCAGAACATGTAGGTTTGTTACAAAGGTGTACACATGCCATGGTGGTTTGCTGCACCCATAAACCCGTCATCTACATTAGGTATTTCTCCTAATGCTATTCCTCTCCTACCCCCCAACCCCCCGACAGGCCCTGGTATGTGATGTTCCCCTCCCTGTGTCCATGTGTTCTCATTGTTCAACTCCCACTTATGAGTGAGAACATGCGGTGTTTGGTTTTCTGTTCTTGTGTTAGTTTGCTAAGAATGAAAGTTTCCAGCTTCATCCATGTCTCTGTAAAGAACATAAACTCATCCATTTTTATGGCTGTATAGTATAACATGGTGTATATGTGCCACATTTTCTTTATCCAGTGTATCATTGATGGGCATTTGGGTTGGTTCCAATGTCTTTGCTATTGTGAACAGTGCTGCAATAAACATGCGTGTGCATGTGTCTTTATAGTAGCATGATTTATAATCCTTTGGGTATATACCCAGTAATAGGATCGCTGGGTCAAAAGGTATTTCTGGTTCTAGATCCTTGAGGAATTGCCACACTGTCTTTCACAATGGTTGAACTAATTTACAGTCCTACCAACAGTGTAAAAGCATTTCTATATCTCCACATCCTCTCTAGCATCTGTTGTTTCCTGATTTTTTAATAATCGCCATTCTATCTGGCATGAGATGGTATCTCATTGTGGTTTTGATTTGCATTTCTCTAATGACCAGTGATGATGAGCTTTTTTTCATATATTTGTTGGCCACATAAATGTCTTCTTTTGAGAAGTATCTGTTCATATCCTTTGCCCACTTTTTGATGGGATTGTTTGTTTTTTTCTTGTAAATTTGTTTAAAGTCCTTATAGATTCTGGATATTATCCCTTTGTTAGATGGATAGATTGCAAAAATTTTCTCCCATTCTGTAGGTTGCCTGTTCACTCTGATGATAGTTTCTTTTGCTGGGCAGAAGCTCTTTAGTTTAATTAGATCCTATTTGTCAATTTTGACTTTTGTTGCCATTGCTTTTGGTGTTTTAGTCATTAAGTCTTTGCCCATGCCTATGTCCTGAATGGTATTGCCTAGGTTTTCTTCTAGGGTTTTTGTGGGTTTAGGTCTTATGTTTAAGTCTTTCATCCATCTTGAGTTAATTTTTTGTATAAGGCGTAAGGAAGGGGTTCAGTTTCAGTTTTCTGCATATGGCTAGCCAGTTTTCCCAAAGCCATTTATTTTGTAAGGAATCCTTTCCTCATTGCTTGTTTTTGTCAGAGTTGTCAAAGATCAGATGGTTGTAGATGTGTGTCATTATTTCTGAGGCCTCTGTTCTGGTCCATTGATCTATGTATCTGTTTTGGTACCAGTACCATGCTGTTTTGGTTACTGTAGCCTTGCAGTACAGTTTGAAATCAGGTAGTGTGATGCCTCCAGCTTTGTTCTTTTTGCTTAGGATTGTCTTGGCTATACAGGCTCATTTTTCAAAAGCATTTCTATACACCAATGACAGACAAACAGCCAAATCATGAGTGAACTCTCATTCACAACTGCTATAAAGATAATAAAATACCTAGGAATACAACTTACAATGGATGTGAAAGACCTCTTCAAGAAGAACTACAAACCACTGCTCAAGGAAATAAGAGAGGACACAAATGAGTGGAAAAACTTCCATGCTCATGGATGGGAAGAATTAATATCATGAAAATGGCCATACTGCCCAAAGTAATTTGTAGATTCAATGCCATCCCCATCAAGCTACCACTGGCTTTCTTCACAGAATTAGGAAAAAAAAAAAAAAAAAAAACCCTTAACATTTTCAAGTACTTTGAATTGAGATAGCAAATATGCTTAAGGTTGTGTGTGTGTGTGTGTGTGTGTGTGTGTGTGTGTGTAGGGAGGAGGAAAAAAGGCAAGAGGGCTCAACTTCTTCAAACATAGTGGAACCATGCCAGAATGCTGGAAGAATATATATTGTAAAAGAGCAAGTCAGAAGATGGTTAAAAATAGAGCAGGAGAGGAAGGTGAATGAAAAAATAAAGCAAAAATACATTAAAGGCTTTTAAAGTGACAGGATTGAAAAGATCTGCTGAAAACATGCCAGCACTCATTTTTCATTTCATGCACAGAGAAACCTGTTTTTGTTCAACGAAACAAACTTGCTTCCTCCTGTTTGCACACGTGTAATGAAAGCTTTTTGGCTCGCAGTAAGGAGGGAGGTGAGAGGTGATTGAAATAATTTGGTTAATGGAGAAATCTGGAAAGAAAATAAATTTGTGTATGTCATTGACCATGTGTGTGGCATGTATTTGTGCTTGATTCCAAAGTGCGTAGAGGCCGGGGAAACTGCTGCGAGTGTGGGATTGTTTTCTTAGGACAAACTCTGAGAGATTAAATCACTGGGTTAGAAAGCAAAAATGTTTGCTTAAAGAATCTTTCTTTATAAGTACAGTCTAATTTAGACTACAGTGACACAATTAATTAGCCTATCTGCTTGGCACGTTTTCCCCCTAGAATCGGATCACCTCCTCCCTCCCCCTTGATTAGAACAGTTCCAGGGCTTCTTGCAGCGAGAATAAAATTCACACTCCCTGGAAGACTCCCTCTCCGTCAGCTCATGGGTTCCCAATACCTCTCATTCTCACCTTGGGACCATTGTCTGTCTATTCCCAGCACTTTAAAGAGCTCCTTCTCATCCTTGTGCCTCATGTCCTTCAATTCTTGATGGAAGGTCACCTTCTTAATGAGACCAACCTTGACTGATGTAAGTTGCATCACGCCCCTGCCTCCAGACTTCTCAGTTCCCTTTTCTTAGAGCACTTATTATCTTCTGACACAAGGGTCTCCAACCCTCCAACCCCCAGGCTGCAGACCAGTACCAACTCGTGGTCTGTTAGGAACTGGGCCACACAGCAGGAGGTGAACAACGGGCAAGCATTACCACCTGAGCTCCGCCTCCTGTTAGATCAGTGGCAGCATTAGATTCTCCTAGGAATGTGAACTGCACATGCAAAGGATCTAGGATGCCTGCTCCTTATGAGAATCTAATGCCCGATGATCTGAGATGGAACAGTTTCATCCCAAAACCATCCCTCCCACTGTTCGTGGAAAAATTGTCTCCCACGAACCTGGTCCCTGGTGCCAAAAAGTTTGAAGTCCGGGGTTAAAAGATTAGAATCTAACACAGTATAATTTTTTTTCATGATTATGGCTTATCTGTGTCTTCCCGATTGAGTATGAGTTTCATGAGAGCTGGAATTTTTGCCTGTTTGGATCAAGAAGCCTCAGTGCCTAGAACAGTGCCTGATATGTAGAAGACACCTCATAAATAAGTGAACAAGAGAATAGTCACCTCCTCAAAGAAGGCCTCTCAGTCTAAAGTAGCATCATGCATTCCTTCCCATAGCCATTGTCTGTTACGTTGGCTTTCATTTCATCTTTGATCTCTCTATGAAACCATCTTCATTTACCTGACTAAAATGAAAGCTTCGTGAGAGCAGAGACCTTGCTCTCTGTTCCCTTCTGTATACTTCCAATGAGGTCAACACCTACGGCTCGAAACGTTTTCTTTTTCATGAATTTTTGCTGAGTTTGTTTTTTTCATGAAGATTTGTTAAATTACTCTTCAGAAAGGCTAACTTAATTTTCACGGTCATTAGCAGTGCCTAGGATCTTCTTTCACCATGCCCAGAACCTAATATGTCAATTTAATGGGCAATTGTCCTTTAAAAATAATCATTAATGGAGATAATTTCTTTTTTGCTTTTATTTTTCTTTGTTTTAAGACTATGTCTCCCTATTTTGCCCAGGCTGACCTCGAACTCCTGGGCTCAAAAGATCTTCCTAGTTCAGCCTCCCAAATACCTGGCACGTGCTACTGGACCCAGCTTGTTTGTTTAAAAATTAATTGCCATTGTCTTTTGTACATTTTTAAAATTTCAGTATTATTCTTTTTATTGCTTTATGAACTTTATATAAAAGATATTTTTCCTTGGTCATATCTATTCTTAATGCTTATTCTTAATGTTGTCATAAGTTTATTCTTAATGCTTTCCTTTGTCATAATTTATTCTTAATGCTTATTCTTAGTATTGCCATTTGCTTTTGTATTATTTATTATGTTAATGTAAATTTTTAAAAATTTAGTTGTTTATCCATACATGTCTTTGATCTTTGGTTTTTATCTCATTACTTTCATGCTTAAAAATTTATTCCCCATTCTGAGGTCAGAATGTTTAATTTTAAAAAAAACTTTCAAAATCATGCTGAAATATATTTTCTCATATGGTAAAGTGACTCTATAGCCGCTTTCTTTTTAAAAAGTCTTTTTCTTCCGAATTGATAGCACTATTTCTATAATATACTATATTCTTATACAGAGAGACACATTTTCTGGGGAAACTTGCCTTTATCATTATTGCCTATTGAAAACCATGCTTGACTTCATTGTAGATTACCTGAGGAATCCCTATAATTTTCCAACCTAGCATTTCTTTAATTTTTGAAATTGTCAGCTTGAACTTTGTGGAATTGTTCTGTCCCTTCAGATTACATCTAGGAGAATAGCAAGCCTGTAATGGAAATATTATTCTTTACTTAAATTATATAGCATTCTTTACTGTAAAATGCTGTTTCTCCCTGTTAAAGGTAGCAATTCATTTAAAAGTTACATTCACTTCTATTTGCTACAAAGAAATATTAGGTCATTCTTCAAATAGCATTTCACCATTGTATACTTTAAAATGCCAACAAATGTTTTTCTTCTTTTCTCTTTCTTGGCTCTTATGCCCTCCCTCCTTTCATCCTACAAGTATTTGTGAAGCACCTACTATTAGCCAGGGACTGAGTCATCTTGGTTCTGAGGATTCAGTAGTGAAAAAAATAAAATGTTCTGCCCCTATCAAGCTTATATTCTAGCAGGGAGAAAACACATAATAAGATAAAATATAAGGCATCTTAGATGGAAGAACTAAGGAAGAAAAAATAAAGTGGGAAAGGAGAAAAGAAGTATCTGGGACGTAGGTGCCACATAGTTGTATGTAGTACAATCAGCAGATATCTTTCTGAGCAGGTGAATTTAAATAAATGTTACAAAGTGATACTGAATTATTCTTAATGTAGAAGAGTTTGATCCTAAGAAATTCACAGGTTCTTTCCACACATGCTTAATCAGCCCTCTGAATCATTTCAGAATTATGATTATAATTTTCCCTTCTATCTTTGACTTAGGTTCTCAAAGCAATCAATAAAAGACTGACTATAGGGAAATAATACATTTTCAAGTAGAAAATGTTTTCCATCATAGATCTTCATGGTGAGGTATTTTTAATAAGTAGGTTACTTTTCTAGGAGAAAGAGGTCATATCAGTCATTTTAGAGATAAAATAATTTACTACCTACTGTCCTTCAGGAAGCACTGCAACAAGTAGATAATGATGGATATTAAATACATGGACCCAAGTTGAAGATCCTAACTTCCTACCCCACTAGTTTGTGATGCTGAGTGAGTCACTTGTGTTCTGGAATCCTGTTTCCTCGTTTTACAAAATGGAATCAATTCCTACCTCGTGGGTTAAATTAATTGCTCTGCCTAAAATATAGAAACTGCTGTAAAATTGTCATTCTTATTTTTTTACTAGAGTTCACTTTTTAACCTAGGTGGATTACATGGGAGAAGACTTTACTCAATGACTTTCATGAGTCCTGGACCACTGGTGAGGGTGACATTCCAGTCCTTTGTTCAAGGTGCATTTGGCATAAGCTATATAGTCTTGAAAGTCCTAGGTATGTCTGGTTATTTTATAAACTTGTAAAGTCTAAAAAAATCAATATTACTCTATTTAGGAATATTTCAAAACCTACACAGCATTTTGAAAGAAATTATGTTTCTGTGGGGAAATTAGTATATGTTTGAAAGGAAAATCTACTTAAGTCACCTAAGATTTGATCAGGTCCAAAAGGGAAACTGCTCAATAGAGAACTTGATTGAATTGTATATGATTTCTGAAAATGGCTAAGATATGTTGGTTGCAAGATAACTTTTGTCTGTGGCTGCAGTTTTATACCACAAAGAATGGTTTCTGCAGCCGTAATTCTTGTGACTCAGAAGATTTGGTTTCTAAATCTTAGCTGGTTGATTAGCTGTGGACAATTTATTATCTCTGATTAGAATTTTCTTTGTAATGATATAATAAAAAATTAGAATAAGTTTTGAAAACAAACTACACAAATATTATATTCTAGCATTGTAAGTGTGAACGATGTGATTCAGAGTTGTCAGATTGAACTTTAGAACATGTAATTAGTGAGGTTTTTTTCTTCTTGATATAGACAACTGAAAGCTAGCTTCCCCCCTTGGCACCTAAAAGCATTGCTGAGAATATATTTTTGTAGACCTGTGTATACTGCATATTTGGAAAAAGTTAAATGAGTAATAAAGCATTTATATCATATGAAAGTTTTCTCTTGGAAGAATATATTAAGAATACTGCTTTCAGATGGAATTAGGCAGTTAACAGGTATTATCCATAGCTGTGTCCTGTGATCTTCCATAGACCCTAGACTATGTCAGAGATCATTCTGAGAGATGTGCTTGTTTCCTGTACCTTTTGAATATTTAAGATGGAGAAAATTTTCAGTGAAACCAACCACCTCCTAATAATTACTTGTTTTCCCAGGACAATTAGGGAAGAGAGCTGTTTACCTTGATCTGAAAAGGCATATAGGAAGCCTGTTAAACATTGGTTTTATTCTCATTTTCTCTGCTTCCTATTCTTCTAGGTCCAAAGGACAGTAAAATAACCAGACTTTCCCAAAGTTCAAACACAGAGCACTTGGTCCCTTGTGAGGATATTCTTCTGACCAAGCCAGAAGAGATCATGCAGATCCCAAGAAATTCTCACAGAACTACTATGAGGTAAGGAAGGAATGATTATTATAATGGAAGAAGTGTGTGGAAAAAATGGCTTGACTGACATCAACACTTGGTATTTACTTAAAACATTATTCTTCACCTCTTTTCCATAAAGAATATACTCTTAGGTAACCCCTAATCTACGGCCTTTAATATGGAAACAAAACAAAACAATGTAAGAATGTTCTTGTTTATGAATTGTACTTTCTCAACAAAATAGACCATGTATTAGCAAAGTGAAAAGTCAAATCTCTACAAAGAATGTTGGAGGCTGATATAATGTATGTAAACTATTTGGGCACATAGTAGATACTTAACAAATGATGCATGGGAGTTTGGGGCAAATTCTGGCACATGTACGTCCTTCAGATCTTGTAAATTTTCAATCAGAATTTAAAACAATATCCACAATTGGTCAACCATTCACCATAATGTGTGAACTTTACAAATTTTGGCAAATTAGGTATTAGTTAATAAATCTGATATAATTTAAAGTACAAATCTTTCTCTCTCACAACCATAAGGAAACAGACACAATAACTAAGGCTTGCTGGGGGTCAATAACATTGATGCATTAATTTCTGAGCAAAATAACTAACAATATATTCTGTTTAGAAATAATTTCTGACTTTGTTTCATCTGTGCCATAGTTGCCAATGGAGGTTAGTAGCCCCTTTAAATCACATAATTCAGCTTAATATTATCAACTTCCCGATGAAGCCAACAACTTTGGTCTGTCATGGTCATCTGCATGTTTACAAAGGATTTGGACCAGGAAAAAAATTAATAGGTAACTGGTTTCCCATGAATCACTATGCTACTGATTTTCTCTTATGAAACATGTTTAGATTGTTTTATATTCAATATGTGGCTTACATGTGACATACACTAGTCTCCTCTTATAGGATGTTGAAATAGACTTACTGTTAAACTTTTGTCAGATTTAAAATTAAGATATAAAATCTCAGGTTTAGTTAAAAACAAAGTCCAACAACGTTTCTTACATGGATCACACCTGGATTAAATTTGCTCAGAAATACTAAAAGTAAAGAATGAATGAAGTAGTTTTAGACAAAAACACAAGAAAATTAAGACTATAAAATTAATAAGGCAAAATAATCACAGCAAAAGGCATTACATGAGTTTATCAATTGGTAGTAGTTAGAAACCTGGTTACTGTGATTTAAACTTATTATTTTCAAAGAGAAATGCAGGCGCACTGCTAGTTCAACAGTTGAACTCCACCAGCACTAAAGGTACTTCAATTATTTTGGCTTTTCCTGATGGTTGCATAATGGCTATTTCAGTTCTCATCATTACACTGATGAAAGAAGGGACAGGGAGGATTATCCCTATCAGGAAAGCAAACATGTTTCCAAGAATCCTGTAGCAGACTTAAATCTGTGGCCAGAATTGTCACATGGCCATGCCTGACCAGAGGGTGACTAGAGAGAAGGGAAATGGAAAAGCATTTTGGGTGGTCAACCAAGATTTCTGGACACCATGGGATATAGAAGTCCACAGTTCTGAAATCTGATGGTTCTGGGTCCATATCTCTGTTCTACCAGATACTAGTTAAGTGACTTTGGGAATGATCTCAAATCTTTCTAAGACTCAGTTTCCTCATTTGTGAGAGGAGACACCCCACCACCATGCACACTATGGTCTATGAATTCCAAGTTTACTTAATCAAGAAATAAATGTGTAATGAAGTAAAAGCCCAGCGAAAGAGGATGTATGGCTTTTTGCTGGCTTTTGCCTTCCTAAGAAGGGCCCAGATACAGGTGTCACTCTCCATGCAGGTAGGGTCCTCTCAGAGTGGATAAAAAAGTCAATTGCTAAACCACTGTCTTTTTTATTCTTCAGATTTACAATACTATCCTAGAAGTAAGTGCACTAAGAATATTTCTGTTTCTATTTAGGAGAATGTTGATGAGCACCAAGCTTTCTTGGTTCCTAAGCCAATTCAGCACCAAGAAGACCACAGCTTCTTGTGGGGAGACTGTAGTATCTATGAAAATGATGTATGCTTCTACCATTCTTGCCTTACAGAACACCTGTTACCATTCACTGCCTCATGAGGTTGTTTTGAGAATTAAATAAGAGAAGACATGTTAATCAATACTAAGAAACCAAACTTGTGTTTTGTTTAGATTAGAAATATTTATTCTGATTCCTGTTCTTAAAATTGTGCTGCTTGGAGGAAAAGTTTAGATTGTCTCCCTATTGCCTCTTCTATGGGTGACAGGGCAAAAACAGATTGGAAAAACAAAGAAATAAAGAAGGGGACAGGGAAGGAAGAGTACATTAGCAATGTCAGTTATCACTTGCAATGTTAATCAACTATATATCTGTTCTTTACTTAGAACTAATTCACAAAACATACTATTTTCTATTTCCTTCTCCCCAAAAGTTTTATGACTCTTTTTCAATTTCTCTAAATAGAGTTTACAAGCTCTGTGGTATAGGTAAGGAAAAAAGTATTTATCTTCTACCCATCTATCCAGAGGAACAAATCCTGTGATCAGAAGTTTAGAACTTATAGCCCAACCTCTGGGTAGGGGAGAGGGACTGGAAATTGACTTAATCAGCAATTGTCAATGATGTGATTGATCATTTCTATGTAATGAAGCCCTCATAAAACCCCAAAAGGAGAGGTCAGAAAGTTGAGTTGGTGAACACACGGAGGGTGCTGGGAGGATGGTGTACCCAGAAAGGACAGTGAAGCTCTGTGCCCAGACTCCATATCTTGCCATATACATCTTTCATTTGACTGTTCCTGAACTATATCATTTGTAGTAAGTAGGTAAACACAAGTAAAGTGTTTCCCTGAATTTTGTGAGTTGTTTTAGTAAATTATCAAACCTGAGGAGGGGATCGTGGGAACCTCTGATTTATTGCTGGGCAGTCAGTAGCACATGTGACAACCTGGACTTGCAATTGGCATCTGAACTGGGGAGTGAGGACAGTCTTGTGAAACTGAGCTCTTAACTTGTGCAGTCCATGCTAACCTAAGGTAGATAAGAATGGAATTGAATTGTAAGATACCCAGTTGTTGTGGGGGGAAAAATCCCATACATCTGGTGTGAGAAGTGAAGTACCGAGAGTAGCAGTAGTTGTAGGAGAGATAGAGATTTTTCCTTTAGTTGGTGTAGAGAAGTGTGGTTTTTTTTGTTTTTTGTTTTGTTTCTCAGACTATCTTAGCTTCATTGGCTGGAACTCTAGCAATGATACTGACAAAAGACAAATTAAAAAGAGAAAAACGGAATTTTCTTAACACATATATCATGCATATATGGGAAAATTCGGTGGTGAGTAACTCAAAGAGGTGATTAGAACTTGGGCTTATATAACATTTTAACAAAAGAACAATAAATAAGAGAAGTGACAAAGTAAAGGAAAAGGACTTTGAGCTTCTAAAGGCAAAGAACTTGAGCTTCTAGGGGTGGCATATTGTAGGAAAGTGAATATGTTGGGGACAGTTGTAGAAAACTAAGGTTTCTTTAGAAAGATTTGTTATGTAGATTCTTCTGGTGTCGTCTCTGGGCTGATAAGAGTCTAGATTTGTCTCTAAGAATCGTTCTGCCTTTCCCAGTGGAGAGAGTGGGAGGGCAGAGAGTTTTTCTTCTGTCTACCTTTTTTTTCAATTGCTTTCTGCTGAAAATAATCCTTGTGCCAGGGTGGTATACTCTCAACCACCTCCGGGTTAAGTCAATGCTTGACCTCAGCAGATTATCTGATGAACATTTGACAGAACCAAATAGGATTTATCCCAAGAACACAAGGAAAATTGAATACTAAAATGTATTGTATATTAAGATTTTCTACTATAAATTAGAAAAAATAGATACAAATTATATAGCAATTGTCATCTTAAAACCATAGCAGTAAAATGTAGAAGATATAAGGGGAAAATTACTTCAATTACATTTAGCAATAAAAGCCATGTGATAACTAGGAATAACCCTAAATTTGAGATTTATTGTTCAAACTATGAAACTTTATTAAGTTGCATGTGTGGGCACACAAATACATACAAACACACAAACATTTGCATAGATAAAAGTACCATGTTCCAAAACTGAAAGACATAACTCATTAACTCAACACAAATTAGTTTAAAAATATATTTTCCAACTAAATCCAATGGAATTTTTTTTCTGGAGGGATGAAGAGGAAATTAAACAACTCCAAAATTTATCCTGTAAAATAAATAGCACTAGCTGAAAATATCTTGGGGAAAGAATGACAAAATGTTTAAGGTAGAATTGCTCTATCAGATATTTAAAGTATATTTTAAAACAATGGTAATTAAAACTATCAGAAGAAACAAGTGATGGAAAATAGACTAGAAGGGGCCCTAGAAAATTTAAGACCACCGTATGTGGTTTATTTGGAATTACCACTCAGAAAATGTATAAAATTATTCTTCACATCACACAATAGCTGATAAAGGAGTTAGTTTTCATAAGGCATTAAAATTGGAAAATATTGGTAGTTAACCATATGGAGAAGGACTTTCTCATATAGATATAGAAGTAGTAAAATAAAACAAATTAATAAGTTCTTATGTAATTAAAAACTCTTCTGCATCCACAGAAACAAAACTAAAAAGCAAATACATGGGATTTTCAACTATGCTGAGAAAAGTCTGAAGTAATTGATTTAAGAAGTGTTTACAGATCAATAATAGAAAAGCTAAGATCTGTAAAATAAATTTATAGGACCTAGACAACTTTGACTTAGTCTTGATTAAAGTTAAACCACAGATCCTGTGCCTTCTGTTTTCCACTTACTTTTCGAAAGAATGACACAGTGTTGACCCAAGTGCTTTTGAGAACACAAAACATAGGATTAACCATTAGCCTCTTCTGATAGATAAGAAAGGTTACTGATATTTACATACCAGTTACTACACAATCTAAATTAAATGTCTTGTTTTTTGTCACAGTGAAATTTGTCCTCTGGCCATCTCTTTACTAAAGAGGGCAGAGTTTTCCTGTAATCATGGAAAGCCTACTAGTTCTTAGGATCCTTGATTTGAAACCTTGAAAACTATGAGTGTTATAGCAAATTGCATTTACTAGACTGTTTGTTTCAGAAAATATTGTGTATGATCAGTTAAACTTAGAGATGGTTTTGAAGTGAATTATCACTCTTATGATAATTAACCCATGACTATGACCATCTTGATCTACCTCTAGTTAAGTATAAAACACTGAAGGATTTTCTTTAGAATTGGAGGATTCATAATATTAAAAAAATTAAGTACAATAAATAAGGGTCTAACCAATTTCAAATGACAATTCAGAATCACTGTTTTCCATGATATACCCTAATTTTAAAAATGACAAATTAAAAGATGAAGCCAGCTGGGCTTCTGGATCGGGTGGGGACTTGGAGAACTTTTTTTGTCTAGCTAATGGATTGTAAACATGCCAATCAGCACTCTGTGTCTAGCTAAAGATTTGTAAGTGCACCAATCAGTACTCTGTAAAAACGAACCAATCAGTGCTCTGTGTCTACATAAAGGTTTGTAAACGCACCAATCAGCACTCTATAAAATGGACCAATCAGTAGGACATGGGCAGGGCCAAATAAGGGAATAAAAGCTGGCCACCCAAGCCAGCAGCGGCAACCCATTGGAGTCCCCTTCCACACTGGAAGCTTTGTTCTTTTGCTCTTCACAATAAATCTTGCTGCTGCTCACTCTTTGGGTCTGCACTAGCTTTATGAGCTGTAACACTCACCTCAAGGGTCTGTGGCTTCACTCCTGAAGTCAGCAAGACCACGAACCCACCTGGAGGAAAAAACAACTCTGGATGTGCCATCTTTAAAAGTTGTGACATTCACTATGAAGGTCTGCAGCTTCACTCCTGAAGTCAGCAAGACCACTAACGCACCAGAAGGAAGAAACTCTGGACACATCTGAACATCTGAAGGAACAAACTCCGGACACACCATCTTTAAGAGCTGTAACACTCATCGTGAGCATCTGCGGCTTCATTCTTGAAGTCAGTAAGACCAAGAACCCACTGGAAGGAATAAATTCAGGACACATTTTGGCAACCCAGATGGGACTATCACCAAGTGGTAAGTACCATCAGACCCCTTTCACTTGCTATTCTGTCCTATTTTTCCTTAGAATTCAGGGGCTAAATACTGGGCACCTGTCAGCCAGTTAAAAGCGACTAGTGTGACCACCGGACTAAAGACACAGGTGTCAGGCTTTCTGGGAAAGGGCTCTCTAACAACCTCTGACTCTTCGGAGTTGGGAGCATTGGTTTCCCTGGAACCAGCTTCTGCTTTTCCTGTACTTCTGGGCTGAGCCGACGGTCAACAGAGAGGAAAGTCATTCAGTTCCAGGGTCCTGACAAGTTGGTTGACCCTGTGGCCATGAGTGGAACTCTCAAAGTCATGTTGCCCAAGTGAGACTCGCCCATCTATCCTATCTATGCTGACCCTTGCCTCCTGGGTCCTAATGCCTGTCAGACAAACTTCTTCTCACCTCTCTTCTCCGAGGCTAGTCCCACTTCTAAAAACCACTCCCTGTCTCTGGCGCTTTTCTAGTTTCTCCTATAAGAATGATTTCTAGTATAAACTTCAGTACTCTGTTACCTTCTTGAGGCACCTGGGCTCACCAATCAGAAAGACATAATTTTTGCCCAAAGCCCTGTCGGTGGGAGGGTACTACCTGGAATTTTAGGACCTCTCCTCAGACAAGCAGGCCTAAAAAAAGCTATTCCTGAAGCTAGGATATGGGGAGCCTCAGAAATTGTATCCTTCCTATTCATATAAGTGAGGACAAAAGGCATCACTTTTCAAACTCTGGAGATCCCTCACCTCCATCAGGATATGGCTCTCTACTTCATTTTTGGGGCATAACATCTTTAAGTCCCAATACTAACAGGAGAATCCTTAGGACTGGAACATATTTTCAAGAATGTGTCAGTAAGGGCCACTAAATCCGACCTTTCTCAGTCCTCCTTGTGGTCTAGGAGGAAAACTAGTGTTTCTGCTGCTGCGTCGGTGAGTGCAACTCTTCCCATCAGCAGGGTCCAGGGATCTTTACAGGTTCTTGGGCAAGAGGTGTTTCTGCTGCAGCATCGGTGAGCGCAACTATTCCAATCAGCAGGGTCCAGGGACCGTTGTGGGTTCTTGGGCAGGGGGAAAAACAAACAAACCAAAACTGCAGGTGGTTTTGTCTTTCAGATGGGAAACACTCAGGCATCAACAGGCTCACCCTTGAAATGCATCCTAAGCCATTGGAAACAATTTGACCCACAAACCCTGAAAAAGAGGCAGCTCATTTTTTTCTGCACTATGGCCTGGCCCCAATATTCTCTCTCTGATGGGGAAAAATGGCCACCTGAGGGAAGTATGAATTACAACACTATCCTGCAGCTTGACCTTTTCTGTAAGAGGGAAGGCAAATGGAGTGAAATACCTTATGTCCAAGCTTTCTTTTCATTGAAGGAGAATCCACAACTATGCAAAGCTTGCAATTTACATCCTACAGGAGGACGTCTCAGCTTACCCCCATATCCTAGCCTCCCTATAGCTCCCCTTCCTATTAATGATAAGCCTCTAATCTCCCCTGCCCAGAAAGAAACAAGCAAAGAAATCTCCAAAAGAACCACAAAACCCCCTGGGCTATCAGTTATGTCCCCCTCAAGCTGTAGGGGGAGGGGAAATTGGCCTAACCTGGGTACACGTCTCCTTCTCCCTCTCTGATTTAAAGCAGATCAAGGCAGACCCGGGGAAGCTTTCAGATGATCCTGATAGGTATATAGATGTCCTACAGGGTCTAGGGCAAACCTTTGATCTCACTTGG